AGAGAGCCAGCCTTGCAGGCGGGAAGATGCCAGAAATTATGCAAGAAGTGAGGTGTCATTACCAGGAGCTGGGGGAGGGCGTCTCCCAAATCTTCTCAACCCTCTCCTCCACGTCCCCACCTTTTCCAATTTTAATTTCATACAATAAAAAAGCTGAACTTTTTATTCCATAAAACATGAAGGACAAAACTCAAAAATATATTTCAAGTCAATGACCTGGAAAATCCCACCCCCTGCCCTTTCCCAAAAGGACCTTTTCTGTACATGACACTTTTGTTGTTGTTTTTTGTTTGTTTGGGGTTTTACCGTTGCTGGGATTTTTTTTTTTTTAATTTGTTTTCAGGGGGGATTTTTTTTGGGAAAAATTTTTACAAATGGAAGCTTCTAGCAAGCTCCTACTCCAGTCAACTTCTTTGCTTTCTTTTAAAAAAAAAAAAAAAAGAAAAGGAGAAAAGGCAAAAAAAAAAAAAAAAAAAGAAGAAAAGAACCACAGGCCCTGCTATCTATCTGTCCCCCAAGCCCTGCCGCCAGGAAAGCTAGTCTAGGTGTAAGATGTCACACTGTCTTTGTAGCCATCTAAAAATAATAATGAACTGGACAGTTTACAATCTATAGTTTCTTTGGAAAAACCTTTTGGGGAAAGAAACGAAAGGAAGTCCACCCTTCTCCACTTGGGGATTTTGGTTTGTGGGACAGGCGAGGGTGGACAGGAACCTGCTTTGTGTGGCTTGGCTGGCGACAACAACACACCTGGACCCAGCCCATCGTGTGGCCAGCGGGGGCCAGGCCCCCCCGACCCCCTCCAGGATTCCTGCGCGGCCGAGCCGCTGTGACCGGCGCATGCACTGTGTCCCCAGGACTGCTTCCTCTTCCTCCTGGGCCTCCCTCCTGGCCACCCACATCTCCAGGCCCTCAGCCCCACCCCGTCTTCCCAGCGAGAATCCTGCCTGCTGGGTGGTGGCCTGGAGCAGAGTAGGAGAGGCCACCACTGACAGGATGGCTATGACCTGGGACTTGGAAACCGGACCTCTGCGTTCTGGGCCTGTGATCTTGTATCGTCGCTGCGGCAGGGTGGGCTGGAATTTGGGTTTTCTTTTTCTTTTTTTTCTTTGTCCCCCCTCTTTATTCATCCTCCTTTTTTCAAAGATAGGCTGTTGACCAGAATTGCTCTGTAAATGCTTGGAACTGGATGGAAGACTTTGGCATAGCTGTGGGGGGGTGGGGGGAGCACCACAAACCAGATGTGATGTTTCCGGTCCTGTTTTTATTTTTCAAAAATCAATGAACCCGACGGTGGAGCCTGTCCCCACCTAGGAGGGGTGACTCATGACACCTCACCCCCATGGAAACCTTTGTCTTGCCCTGGAAGACACCGAATTCTTTGTACATTTACACTCCCCTCTCCTCCTCCCCTCCCGCGTAGCTGGTCTTTGTTTTATTACCGCCCCTTTCTGATCCATGTATATCATATTATGTGAGATACCATCTGCCTGAAAAAAGACCTTGTGCGGATTATTGGGAACATTGTAGCTGTTTCTGTGTTTTTTCTTACCTTGTAGTCTGGTTCTGAATTATGAGAGGAAAAAAAAGTAATTATGATACATTGTAGTTTGTGTACGATATATGTTGATAACGTTTTATTAAAGGGACATCTTTTTTCCGCAGCCCTTGCCGACATGCTTGGGGAACGCGGGCTGGAGTTTACTGTGTGAACACAGAAGCCGAGGTGACTCTTTGGACACCAAGTGTTTGTTCCTGGCAGGGACAAGATTCCACTTTTTGTTTCTGGCATCTGCCTTCTCCCTGGGCAAACTTGGTCTGCATTTTTATGAAGTCACTGGCCTCTGGGGGCAGTGTGCTGGGAGGGGGAACATTGGTCTCACTTCAAATAGTCGGGGGCCTGCTAAGAGCCAGGTTCCATTTCTCAAGTCTTGCAAAATTTACCGTTCTGTCTCCTGCCCCCACCCCCATGCTAGGGTCTGAAACCAGGGCCTTCGTGTTGAGCTACATTCCCATGACTACCCCCCTTAATTTTTAAATTTTGGTACAGTGTCTCACAAAGTTGCCCAGTCTGGGTTTGAACTTGGCATCTTCCTGCCTCACGCTCCCAGAATGCAGAGACTACAGGTGTGCGCCACCATGCCCAGCTGTTTCTGGAAGTAGAAAAAGGTTCCCATGCCATGTTTTCTATGCGAGTCAAGGGGGTCGGGATGGCCCTGTGGTGCTGACCACCCTGCCTTTCCCCCACAGGCAGCACTCTGCTTCACAAAGACCCCTGGCTGGGGAACCTGGTGTGTACAGGACTGTGGGGTTGATGGGAGGGTCCTCAGATACGGGGCTGCTGGGAGGCTAAGTTCTTCTTTACTTTCATGGCAATGGAGAGCCCTTGAAGGATTTTGAGAGGAGCACAGACTAACCTGAATTTTAAGAGAACTTACTGGGTCCTTGCAGCAGGAGTTGGGCCGACAGGAGCTGGGCCATGGGGGCACTGGCCCCGGGCAATGAGGGGCCCCCTGGAAGAAGCCCCACCTGCCACTTGGGTCCACCACTGGCCCCATTCCCTTCACAGCACAGCCCCAGTGAGGACTGTTCGGGGTTGGCAGGACTGGTGCTTTCCCCAAGGGTCCTCACTGCCCAGCCCGGCCTAAGAGATGCAAGGCAGCCAGGGGTCTGCACTGAGCCAGCAAGAGCACCGTGAAGGAGGGAGTCCTGCTAGGCCTTGCTCAAGCAAGGACTTCAGCTCACACGGGCAGAGTGGAAGAGCCCGGCCCATAGCTCCTGCAAGGTCCAGCACAGCCACCGCTTCCCTCCTGGTCCTCAGTGTCCACGAGGCCTCTAATTCCAGGGCAGTGGCCAGCCTGAGCCCCAGCAGGAAGGGCCCCTCCTGCCCTATCCCCACCCTGCCAGGAAAGGAAAGCCAAAGGCAGGTGGGGTGCTGCTACTGAGACACAGCCAAAAAGGCTTCTGCTGGGGCTGTGGCCACTCAGCCTGCCTCCCTGAGTGACCATGAGAAACCCCACTCCAGCCTCCATGGTGACACTGGGGGCATCGCTTCGATTCCACACTGCAGAAGGCGGGCCCCAGGATACCTCAGAGCCTCTTGGGGCGGAGGCCTGGTCTTGGATACAGAGACCGAGCTGGAAGGGAGGAGGAGCTAAACAGTGCAGGTACAGCTGGCTCAGCCCCTTTCAGCTCCTCCCTGGAGTGGCAGTGTACAGCTCTCTACTGCAAGGGGCTACAGGCAGCTGGCCCTGCTCTTGCCAAGGCTGGGCCGACTGGACCCACACACGGGCTTAGCACTGGGGCTGCAGTGGGAAGGAACCATGTGGAGGCAGGGATGCTGAAAAGTAAAGGTCCATTGTGCCCTGCACTGGCACTTCCTCCTGTGGACCCCTGGTCCTTGGCAGCTGCCGACTGGATGTTCAGGCACCTCTTGGATTCCCTGCCAGTGCACAAGCTCTCATTTCTGACCCTCCACAGACTGTTCCTTCTCTCCTGCAGTCCTCATGGGCTGGCTGAGCACCTCTTGGTGTAGCACAAGGAATGCAATGTGCAGACCTGGAAGGATGGTGATGCCCTTCACAGAGGCAGCAGCAGGGAGAGATATGTTTGGGCAAGTAAACTGAGGCACTGACTAGATCTCCAGCAAAGTCAGGTGGGCAGGTCTAGGCTGGGAGGATCACTGCATCTGGTGGCACTGGGTGGCCCCAGAAGGCTCGGATCACCTAAGTGAATGGCTGGGCCCTCAGGCTCTGTAATCAGAAGCCTGGGAAACTGGCCAAAGGAAAGCCAGACAGCCAGGTGCCCAGGGACCAAGTGGAGCAAAGTGGTGTAGAGAGGCGGGGCCTTAGCTGTGAGGAGCCGAGTCTACAGCCCCAGGGCCAGGTCCGCGCTCACCATCCTTCATGGGCCTCTCCTGCCCCAACTATGCACAGCCCTGGAGTTTTGCCCACCCAGGGCTTTGGCCTTACCGAGCCCTTCCAGGTTGCCCTGTGGAACCCAGCTCAGATGCCCCTTTCAGAAAGCCTTGTAGGCTGGGGCACCTCCTGGGTCCTCAGTGAAGTGTCTGCCTCCTCTAAGGCAGGGACTGTGCCTGAGTTGTCTTTGTCCCCAGAATCACGCAGCCCTGGGCCTGGCTCTTGTAGCTGCTCCAAGCATCCCTCAGAGTAATAATTAGTCACCCCGAGACATGCTCAAGTACAACCCTCCCCCCAACACATGCTGTCACTGTGGGCAGACATGCTCCTGGGGGAGGGACCATGGCTCCTTGTTCTGGCTGTCTAGATCCCAGCATGAGCAGAGAGCAGGTACAGGACTTCTAAAATGGCCAAGAGTGGTTGCTCTGCCCCTCAAGGTCTGCCTGCAGCAGCCCTGACCTGTTCTTGGGCTCTAGTGTGGCCTTGCTGGGGAGGAGACTCATGGGTGACCATGGCAGAGTGTCCAGAGCAGGGAGGAGCCGGCTGTGCTCCATGTGCCTCCAAACAGAATCACTCGGACCTCGCATGGGTCCTTAGAGCCTCGCACCTACCAGGCCACTGAGACTTTCCTGATTCGAGGTGGCTTATGTGGCATCAGCAGGAAGTTGTGTGAAGATAAACAGGAAGCCAAGGTGCCTGGCGTGGCCACATGGCATCTGGCCAGGACCTGATGACACCAGAACAGACAGACCCAGGTGCTCAGCTCATCAACCAGGAAAAGAGAGATATGCACCCTGAATATTCTGCTCAGATCTCCACAGGCACCGTGGTACGCTGAATGATGCATGCAGTCCCATAAGAGCTTGGCGCCATGCGAAGCATCTGCCATGAGACAGACACATTCTTAAAAACACGGGAGGTCACATTAGTCCTAGTTTCAGGTGAAGAAACTGAAACTCAGACTGAGCGCTCCCAGGTCATGATGTGGGTTAGGGCAGGGCTGGCCTTAGGCTGAGGCAGGACAGACTCCACAGTCTGCAGCTGTGCAGGGGCAATGTGGCACCATACCTTCCATCAATAGACTCCAGTGCAGCCAAGGGCTCTTTATTGCCAGGGAAAGCACCAGGCCAAGTGGGTGCAGAGGGCCTGGGCACTGCCTAGGATGTAGGCTCCTCAGAGGGAGAAGCATCAGGGCTCAGGATGTCCTTGCTCATGCAGCACCGTGCAGATACAGGGCTAAGAACTTCCTGAAGGTCTCTGGCTGGAAATCGACAGGCCCAACTGGCTCCTGAAAAGAACAGACCCCAGGGCCAGGGATTTAGCTCAGTGGTTCTGCTACCTGCCTCACAAGTGCAAGGTCCCAAGTTGGATCCCCAGTACAAAAAAAAAAAAGAATAAAGCCCATTAGGACCCCATACTAGGTGTAATGGTAGCAATCAAAATCAGTTGATGCATGTCAATCTGCAGTTCCTGGATAATCACTTCCTTTTCCTACTCTGCCTCTCGAGCACTAAGAAGGGTCCTGAGGAGCTGGTGCTGAGGAGACCCTGAGGGACCATGGCCAGGAAGCACTCCTGAAGCCACCTGCTGGTACAGCCCCGCTCCCAATGTCCCCTCACTTCAACTGCAGGACAAGTGGTCTGTTGCCTGTTCAGTCCCAGTGACAGTGACACCCCGCTCACTCCACGCCATTTACCAGGCGCCTGGTGCCCTGTGTGAGGGACCCAGCAGTATGTAAATCTGCTTCCTCAAAGAACTTAGTCAGGTGCTCAGATAGAATTTAAAGGTGACAGACCCCACTGCAGAGCAGAAAAGGACTAGTTCACAGACTTGCACATATGGAAGGGCAGCAACTCTGATAGGGCAGGCCCTCTGAGGCACACCACTCGGCACTGCCCAGCAGCACCTCGTACAACCCCACTGCCTGCGGGCACCAGCACACAGTCTTCAACATTGCTTAGACATCTGCTGAGCACTGCAGCCCAAGCCAGGCCCTCCTCCCAGATCCGACCACCCGGCTGGAGACGGCCACACTCACCACCACCACCTTCTTTTTGATCACCGGGAGACACCAGAAGTGCTGATAGAGGAGCTGGTCCGAGTCCACCCAGACCAAGTTCTTGACACCCTCATTTGAGGCCAGATCTGTGGTGTTCAACTGCAGCACCAGGAACTGGAAGATGCGTCCATCCGTGCCCACACTCTGCACAACCACTGGCTGCTCCAAGACCTTGTTGTGGTTCTGAGAGGAAAGGGGACAAGTGAAAACTCAGAAACAACGGAGTGTGAGGAGCAGCACAGACCAAGCGGCTTCTTGCTCTGCACAAAACCCTCTTGCTCCCATTTCACGGCTTCACCTTGGGGCATGAGGAGCTCTAGGGCCAGGCCCTCCCTCTCCCCCTGGCTCTGTCTGGCCTCCCCTGCTTCACAGCCCCAGGAAGCCGGATGCTACAACTTGAGCACAGTAAACTAAGAGTTCCCACCCCTGCGAGGCAGTTCCTGGGCAAGCCGCAGAGTTCAGGCAAGTGAACTGGGAGGTCAAGGACAATCTTGCAAACTCGAGGCATAACCTGATGGGGACAACAGTGACATCAACCTGGAGGATCAATGAATAATGCCACTCAGTTCTCATTCCATTTGACAGATGAGGAAACTGAGATTCGCTGAGGTAAAATGACATGTCAGAAGTCACAAAGATGGGTGTCATTGGGACCCGAAGTAGCTCAGGTACCTTGCTCCCAAGTGCCTGGCATCCTGGACTGTCTACACTTGCCACCAGTCATTTCAGCTTCATGCTCTCACTGCAACTCAGAATGGGCCATGTTCTTGCAGTGTGCATTGAAGCCATGGGGCCCAGGATTTCACCAGCCAACTCTTCCAGTTAGTGCTACCTGGTAATTGTACTGAAACCACATACTGAAGTCGTCCTAGGCACAAGGCATCTTGCCAGGTTTCCCACTCTCATGAATCTAGAGGCACATTCCCACTTAGCAGATAAGGAAACTGAGGTCCAGAGAGGTGGTATAAGGTGTGAGGCAGGATCAAAGCGAGGCTGTTAGTTATGTCACTTAAAACCCTACTGTTCTGGCTGCCCCCTGGTGTCCTGATGTATCTGACAGTAGCACCTCTCGTTCTCAGCAGTGTCCCTGTTTGGATAAATCACATGGTCAACCTGCAGGGACTTTGCGCCAATCTAGTTAGGTGAATGCTACTTTTTGGACAGGGATGAAAGGGCAGGCCCCACAAAGCAGGGGATCCCTGATTCAAAGCGCTGCCGCCATTCCCCTCAAGGGTTGATAGACTTTAGACATAGCTAACAGTCGACCTCAGTGTGGGTCACACCAGGGCTGCTGGCCTTAGAAGTACCTGTTCTTAGCTGCCCGAAAGATAAATAAAAAGAAAAGTACCTGTAAGTGTTAGCCAAGAATTCTGTATTGACTCTTATCTCCCTCTACAGATCAATAAAACTGCAGGTAGTACATAAATTTCTCAGCAATTTTACCTTTTACATGGAGGCTCTTCCCATAATTGCTCAACTTCACATCCCCAGGAACAAATTGTACCTAGAGGGGGTGGAGGAGGCCTCCTCTCCTACCCAACTGGGTGGCAATTAGTGGCTGCACTGCTACCCAGGCTCTACTGGCACAGAAGCTACAAAGAGCCCCTAGGCCTCAGATGTGACTGCTTCCTTGCACTGCTCAAGTCAGGAGGCAGCGTACCCTTTAAAGGCAGAGGGAGCATGGACCTGATCCTTGCTTCCCCACTCAGTAGCTGTGGGATCTCAGGCAAGATTCTAGCCTTCAGCAACCTTCAGAAAGTATAAGTTAGAAAACAGGACTAAAGCTAGCCTTCTGAGGATCCGAAAGACAAGGTCACACAAAGATGTGACAGCTGCTAGTCACCGCTGCCTATACCGGGGACTGGATCCAGGGCTTTGCACAGGCTAAGCAAGTACCCTTCCACTAAGCTACTCTCCTAGGCAACTTGCTAATCTCTTAGCCGTGTGACCTTCAGCAAGTTACTTAGCCTCCCTGGGCCTCAGTCTCCTCATGTGCAAAATGAAGCCTACTTCATGTGCCACATGGGACTGTTCCTAGGAGTAAATCAGGAAGTGCCCCTCAAATCTTAGTGCAGGATTTCCAAACTTGAGGTTGTATCAGCTTCACCCAGCAGGTGGGCTTGTTTAAACACTGACTGCTGAGCGAAAGCACAGAGCTTTTGATGTAGCGGGCCTGGGAATCTGCATTTCTGACAAACTCCTAGATAAGGCTCTTGAATTTTGAAAACCACTAGTATCAAGAACCCTGATCTATGCCTAGTATGTAGCTGGCACTCAATACAGGCACGGTCAAGTGCATGCCCACCCATGTAGCTAGCTACATCTCCTCAACCCCGCCTAGTGCCAGACCAAGGATAGGAAACATGGCAAGAATGCCCTCCCTCTTGCAGACAGCCTGAGGGTCCCCAGCAACAACTCAGACCCCTCCCCTAAGCAGGGACCTGGAGTCCCAGGCCAGCTGAGGGCTCCTATGTGGCTCTCCCTTTGTTCTTGGACCAGGCTTCCCCCCAGCCACTGGGGCAACCACTCAGCCTCCATTCCAAACTTCCTAGGTCCTTGGGCCCCTGTTTAGGACTGAGGCTACCACCAAGCAGCATCTCAGGTCCCTAGAAACCATCTTGGGGTGCCAGGCAGGTCTGGGCCACTGCCCAGTCTCATCTCCTGCTGCCGATGGAGCCATGCTCAGCTGAGACACTATAGTGCAGGACAGTGTGCTGAGCACAGGCAACAGGCTGTGCCATCCTCTCCCCACCACTTACTGCTGCTGAGCTCCATGGGACCCTGTGGCATAATCTGGAAACGGGCCCAATGACACCTCACGGGCCACGTGACTGGGAAAAGCACAGGCAGGTAGCTGGCCCCACAGGGGTAAGTGCATCTCCACAGGGTCCAGGGGAGTTCTCCCTAAGATTCCTCTGTGCCCTCTTTGTGTTCTGAGTAATGTCCCTGAGGCAGGAGACCAACACAACGCAGAGCAGCTCCACAGTCTTTCTCATACACGTACCCCATAGAGGCGCCGCGCCTGTGCCAGGGCATTGCCAAAAGCAAACAGGATCATCTTGGCCCGCAGCTGCTCAGGACGAAAGCGGTGTGGCTGCAAGTTGGCTTTCTCCAGGAAATACAGGGTGTGGGGATAGGGGTAGGGATAGCCTTCCTGGAACCCTGCAAGAGAGAGCCACATGTGATAAGCCAGCCTGCCACGGAGCCTTGGACTACTTCATGGCGCCTCAGGCAGGTACCAGAGACTTCGGGAGGCACACACTACCATCTTGCTAGGGTGGCAGACCTCAGCTGTGGGCCACATGCTGCCCGCCACCTACTTTCACAAATACTGTTTCTACTGGTACGCATCGCTCACTTTCACGTCTCCTGGTAGCGGTGACAGAAAGCACACATGCCCTGTGAAACCTAAAATGTTTGCTATTTGGCTCTTCCCAGAAGATGGCTGCCAACCTGTGACCGGCCCTTCTGACACGCTCACTCTAACTCCAGCCTTTCTCTCCGTCAAGCACCTGGGTGACAGCGACATTAGGAGATGGGTAACTGGAAAGTTATGGTGACTTTTTTTTTTTTGGTACCAGGGATTGAACTGGGGTCCTTGCACTTGCAAGGCAAGCGGTGGAACCACTGAGCTAAATCCCCGGCCCCTATGGTGACTATTCAAAGAGCGCCAATCATTTGCAGAATTCAGAACTTTAACATTTGTAACAGGTGACTTGCTTCATCCCTCACCAGGCATCAAAGCTGAGTACTTGCTCACCTCAGCCACAACCCTGACAAACCCTGATCCTCCTCTGCTGTGTGGTTATGAGTAAACCCTGGTAGCTACTGGTCAACTTCTAACGCCCAGCTGAACTGAATCAGCGTGGTCTGGGCGTGGAGGACCCACCTGAAGATTGTTACCAACAGCCATAAAAAGAGACCTGGAAAAAGAAAAACAACTGGAGGGGAAGATCTTGGCCTGCTGGTTTTCTAGGGGAAACTTGCTGCGGATGGTTTTCCTGATGGGAACTAGGCTGTTCTCAAAAGAGAAGCTCGGGGCCTCACTGTTGCTGAGAATGGCTGTTTTCCTCAGGGGAGCTCTAATCTTTACCGTGAGCATCACTTCCTGGCTCCAATGTGGACCCCTCAGCCTGATGGCACAGATCCTTCATCTCACCGGCTAGGTCTTCTGGCCTCCACCATTGGCCTTTGGGCCTTCCAGGTGTAGATCCTCAATTTGGACAAGCATGAGACACTGCCATGGGCTCTAGGCCACTGGCTGGACTCAGGAGGACAGTGCCTTGGACTCTAAGCCTTTAGCTGGACTTGTGTGGGAAACTGCTGAGATCCAGGCCCTCAGCTGGATTCCTTGGGCCCCGAGTGTACAGTTAATCTCTTGCACTCCTTTGGATTTGACTTTATGGGTAATGATCATACAAATAATCGTATAAATTATGTGTCCTGTATTTAATGTATTCCCTTACCAAAATCCTGACTACAACAGGAGGCTAGTGCTTCTAGAACTGAGTAACCAGGATCGGTGAATATGGGTGAAAGGAGGATGAGAAAGAGGCTGGGAAGTGCAGGATTTGAAAAGGGGAGCACTAGCCTAGAGACACAGCTGACCAATCAGGGGGCCAGTAGCTGTGAGGCAGGAGAGGGTCAGGGGAAGCTACAGCTTGTGGAGAGATGCATGGCAGGACCTACAGGCCTGCTGGGGCTGGCTGCCTAGCTCCTTCCTGGCTGACAGAATGAAGCTCTGTGGGACGGAGTTTGGATACAGTGCCCTATGCAAGGGCTGTGGAAGAAGGCAGAGTGTACAGGGCTCACAGGACCTATGAACAAAGGAAAGGCCTTGTCAGATGCCCTTCAAGCCACTATTAAAACTCTGAAGTCTCACAGTTACTTCTTAGGGCTTAAATGCAAAGTCACACTGCTTAACTTTGAGCAGACTGCTTAACTTCCCTGAGCTGCCATCTCCTTGTCCATAAAATGGGGATAATAGCACCTGTCGGACAGGCTGCTGGCCACACATCCTAAAACATAATGTGCACAAGGTGCCTGGCACCTGCTAAATTCTCAGGTCATCCTTTCCCTTTGGAAAAAAACATGTCCCTCATCTCCATATGTGTAAAAATAAGACTGCTTCTTACCGGTATCATCCTTCACATCATACACATTGCATTCCTGAAGATCAATCGTGGGGGAAATGGGATAGAAGGTCTCCAGAACATGATTCCGAGTGGCTTCAACTTCCTCTCTGGAGGCAATGGGGGTCAGAGGATCCTTGGCACTCAGTCGGGTGCCACTAGTACCACGGACCTGAAGGAGAACAGACTCTAAAGGGGGAAAAAGATAATTAGTCCAAGCTGGCCTAAAGCTTGCAACTCAGCAGTCTGAGGCCTCCCGCCCTTTGCACCTCAGGTCTGTGACAGCTTTTCTAGATGACTGGCCTAATGCCAAACACCGGAACTCGGTGGCAGGGATGTCAGTCCAGGGAGGAGGATGAACCAGTGTACTCTTCTTCCTGTGTTCCTTCTTCCTAGGAGTCTGGGCTGCCCTGCACAAATGTTCCTGAGCCCCAGCTCTAAGACAGGGACCAGACATGAAGGAAAGCCATTCTCTGCTCTCACAGAGCTCACCAGGAGACAAACGCTACAGCAAGAGGTAGGAGTCAGATTTAGATACAGCTGAGGTGAGGAAATGGGCCTTCTCTCAAGGGCCCGGGGAGCATCCTGAAAGAAGCAGTGCCTTCAAACCAGGCATCTGACCACCTGGTGGCACACGCCTGTAATCCTAGCTACTCAGGAGGCGGAGGCAGGAGAATCTTAAGTTTGAGGCCAGCCTAAACACCTTAGCAAGATCCTGACTCAAAATAAAAACAGAAAGGGCTGAGGATATAGTTCATTGTTCTCCAGGTACAATCCCCAGTACAGAAAAGAAAAGAAGAAAAAGATAGATAACAGCAAGGTTTCTCAGTTAGGCACTATCCACACTTTGGCCCAGATAATCTTTTGGTGAGGGGAGCCATCCTGTGCATTATAAAGTAGCAGCAGCAGCCTGGCTTTACCCCATAAAGTCCTTCCCATCCCATCCCTACCTGCCCTGTCCAAGGCATGAGAATCAAAAATATCTCCAGATACTGCCACATGTCCCCTAAAGGACAAAACTGTTCTGGCTGAAAACCCATGAGGTGGGCATCTGCAAGGAAAGGCAAGGGGAAGGAAGGCATTCAGTGAAGGGGGAGGAACACGGGCAGCGCTGGGGGAAATGCATCCGAATAACCACAGCAGGACAGGGTAGTAAAGGAGGGGCGGAAAGAAGCGCTGAGACCAGAGGAGAGAAGAGGCCACCAGACCCAGCAAGGGGCAAGGGGCCCAGTGTCCTCACAACTGGGAGTGAGAAGCCCTGCGTTGAGAGCCCAGCAGGTCAGATGCACAAACTCGTTACACAGAGAAGCAGGTGGCTGCAGAAACAAACTTGTGCCTGACTAAACAGTGACCATGTGTGGGTGTCCCTCAGTGTCCCCACAGGCCACCAGCAGGCAAAATGCACCTGGTAAGGTTCCTTGAGCATGGCCTGCAGAGCTCTGCGGAGACACATATTCCTCTGCAGAAATAAGCCAGCTCACAGTCTGGACGGGAGGGACCAAGGGTGGCTCTCTTTTCTTTTTTGAGATAGGGTTTCACTATGTAGCTCAGGCTGGACTTGAACTCACAACATAGCCCAGGCTGGCCTCAAACTCGTAATGATCCTCCTATTTCAGCCTCTGGAGTGCTGGGATTACAGGTATGCACCACTATGCCTCACTAAGGCTGGCTTTATAAGCCTAAAAATTGGTTTGGTCAACAGCACTGCCATTTAATTAGTGCACAGCCGCCCTTTAAAAATGGATAACATCTGTGAATTGATAAACCCTAATCTGCTTGTTAAAATACATTATAATCGCACCTCCAGATTAGCTTCCTAAAGCATTTCCTGCTTCCTCACATAAAATCTGCAAGGAACATAAATGTGCCCAGACCTCTCCTAACCTTAGGTTTTATATTCTCTCCACAGACCACTCCAATGTGGTTACTGATTCAATTCCCTCCACATCCCTCCTCCAGCGACAGCTCCAAATGGGGCAGTTTAATTAGAGGTGATACTTGACAATGGGCCAAAAAGGACTCCTCCATTAATGAGGTGCACTAATTTCCTTAGGGGCGCCATTACCTCTGCAAGGCTGACTCCTTGCCAGGAAGTCCATATGCAAAGGGGCGAGCTGGAGAAATCTGACCAAACAGATGCCCTGAAGTCCCAAATCACTCTATAGCTGGTGTCCCCCCACCCCCAGCACCTGTGTCCTCTGACTTCCCTCTGAGACATCAGAGAGCTGGTGTTCATTCTCTGATCCTTTGGTCAGTTCCCACTGTGTGCTGTGACCTGTGAGACATTGCACAAAACAGTTAAGACGTGGGCCCTGCAGTGGGGAGTCCACAGCTTAGGGAGGCAGACAGAAAAGCCATCGTGTAATTGCAGTAGAGCGTGGTAGGTAAGTGTTACAAGGAGGACCTGGGGGAGCGCAAAGCCAGCCGGGACTCCCAAGGGAAGGGGCTCAAGCTGAGTCTTGCAGCCAAGTACAATGTGGTCACAGGAAGAAAATGAAAAGAGCATTTGAGACCAAAAAGTTGCCAGGGCTAACTTAGGTTTGAGGATGGGAGACAGGACATTAGAGGAGGAAATAAGACCAGAAAAACTAAATGGGGGCCAAATCATAGATGGCCTTGTACACTGTGATAAACAGCTTAAGCTGCTGGGAGATAGTGAAGGATTTGGGATCAAAGAGACACATACAAAGAGCTGCAGTGTAGAAAGGCCACTTTAGTAGCTATGTTGAGCATGGATTTGGAAGAGTGAAGTCTGAAGGAAGTGAGAAGGCTGTTGCATAGAATATAAATATGGAGAGGGAAGAGAATTTAATATGCTTTATTATTTCCTTATCTTCAGCATTTACGCACTCCCAAGCCCACTGTGGCACATAACTGCCTGATACTGGTTTAATTAACAATCTTAGAAAGTGATTAAAAATTAAAAGGTACAGGTATAATATAGTGAAATGGACATACTTCCAAAACTACTATATAGATTTAATGCAATGCTGATTGAAATTCCAACAATATACTTCACAGAACTAGAGAAAACAACCCAAAAATTCATTTAGAACCAGAAGAGACCTGGAATAGCGAAAGCAATTCTAGGGAACAGAGACATGCCTGGGGGTATCACAATCCCTAACTTGAAACTATACTGCAAAGCTACTGTGATAAAAACAGCATGGTACTGGCAAAGAAACAGACCCAAGGATCAGTGGAACAGATTAGAAGATGCAGAAACAACTCCAGACATACTCAGCCACCTCATCTTTGACAAAGGAGCCAACCACCCTCATTGGAGGAAAGATAGCCTATTTAATAAATGGTGTTGGAAAAACTGGATTTCAACCTGCCAAAGATTAAAACTAGACCCATACCTATCACCATGCACTAAACTAAGATTCGAAGTGGATGAAAGATCTAAATATTAAGACAGAAACACTAAACTTGCTGGAAGATAAGTTAGGTAGAACTCTTGAAGACACTGGCATAGGAAAAGACTTTATGAACAAAACCTCAATAGCACGGGAACTAGCACAAAGAATCAACAAGTGGGATCTCATCTAATTAAAAAGCTTCCGCGAGCCCAGGATTTAGCTCAGTGGTTCCGGTGCCTGCCTTGCAAGTGCAAGGTTCTGAGTTTGATCCCCAGTACCAAAATAAAAAAAGCTTCTGCACTGCAAGAGAAACCACCAACAGAGCTAAGAGACAACCTACAATGTGGGAAAAATTTTTTAGCAGCCCTACCTCAGACAAAGGTCTACTATCTAGAATATATAAAGAATTGAAGGGGGGCTGGGGATTTAGCTCAGTGGTTCCATCACCTGCCTTGCAAGCGCAAGGACCCAAGTTCGATCCCCGGTACCAAAAAAAAAAAAGAAAAAAAGAATTGAAAAAACTCAGACACCCCAAATTCAAAGACCCAATTCAAAAATGGGCATCTGAAATGAGCAGACATTTCTCAGACAAAGAAGTAAAAGCAGCAAATAAATATATGAAAAAATGTTCAACATCACTGGTCATTCGAGAGATGCAGATGAAAACAACACTGAGATTCCACCTCACTCCACAAAGAATGGCTGGTATCAAGAAATCAACCAATAACAAATGCTGGTGGGGGTGTGGAGAGAAAGGAACCCTTCTCCATTGTTGTGGGAGTGTAGACTGGTGCAACCACTGTGGAAATCAATATGGAGATACCTCAAAGAACTAGGGCTAGAGGTCCCACTTGACCTAGCTCTTCCCCTGCTGGGTATCTTCCCAAAAGAAGTAAAAGAATCATACCACAGCGATATATGTGCACTCATGTTTATAGCGGCACAGTCTGTAATAGCTAAAGCTTGGAAACAGCTCAAGTGTCCATCAACTGGAAACTGGATAAAGAAGATGTGTTTTAATAAAATGGAGTACTACTCAGCCATAAAGAATGAAAAACTAGAGACATTTATAGCTAAATGGATGTATATCGAGGCCATACTCTTAAGTGAAATAAATAGGACACACATGTGTAAATACCGAATGGTTTCTCTAGTGTGAGAAACTGAAAGTGTAAATAAGGATTAAAATGATTAAAACGAATAACTGATACTTTGAAATAGGAAACAGTCCAAAGGTGTAGGGGTGGTGGGAGGGGAAGGGGAAAGGGAAGAAGGGAAAGGAAAAATTATGAAAATAGAAAAGAAAATAGTGGAAACAAAGTCTATGTAAATAGGGAAGGGTGGAGGGGTGAAGGGCGCACAGGTAATAGGGAAAAAAATAAGAACTAAGATACATCATGTACAGGTACAGGCACCCAATGATAAGTGTAAACGTATTTTATACCTAAAATGTACCAATAAAAAAATTAAAAAAAAAAAAAAAGGTACAGGTATAACTAATGATACTGATGATGTATCTGACCCGATAAAACCGGGCCATGAAAAAGTAAGGATAGGTATTTGAGTGGCTAGAGGTGGAGGGATGTGGCAGTGGAGCTGAGACTAGAAAGATAACAAAGCAGACCAAGGCTTTCTGCTGTTCAAGATGACCAACCTCGACTCCATGTGGCAGATAACGAGTAGTTTTTGGCACAAATCCGCCTGGTCAGAGAAGGGTGCTTGAGAATCTGGGATTTACACAGCTGTATCAGGCTTTCCACAATGAGTGGGCTTGGAGGAGAAAAAAAAAGACATTTGGGGACTTAAGCAATAGGCTGACTCCAAGACCCCTCAGTTAGAAATTATATTTACTAAGGGGAAACTTACCAGTACACCTCCCTCTTGGGAATGTCCTCTGTGGAGTGCCAGAGACGGGCGTGAGAGATAATGTTCAGAACACGCTCATCTTGGTTCTCTACGTGGTTCTGAGGGTCGTCAACAAGGCTGAGAACTTTCTGAGGAAGGCCTTCTATTAACTTGGTCTTGGTAAGCCAGAGAGCCTGTTTCACTCCTGCAGGGCAATAAGCATAAAACAACAAAAAGAGAAGCTGATTCAGAAGAGATGCTCATGTTGGCCAGGAAGCATCATGGAGAAACAGCTGCCTCAAGAGAGGCCTAGATGTGTTCTGGGACACCTATGCAGACAGGATCAGAAGAGCTGGAAGCCAGGGGAATCAGAGTTCAACTCAACATCAGGAACAACCATCTACTTCAAGATGGTGAACAGTTAGTGGACTAAGGTATTAAGCACTTGCCACAGGAGAAATTCAAACAGGAGCTAAGACAGCTGAGGCCATACGACTGAATCCTGCAGGAAGTAGACAAACCAGAGGCTGTGGGATTACACTGACAGATGTCAAATATTCACTTAAGAGTCCTCCTATGGAAAAAAAAAGATTCCTCCTGTTAGACCAGGAATGGTGACACATGTCTGTAATCCCAGCACTTGGTAGGCTGAGGCAGGCGGAACATTGTGAGTTTGAGGCCAGCACAGACTACACAGTGAGCTCCAAGCCAGCCTGAACTACATAGTGAGACCCTGTCTGAAAAAAAAAAAAAAAAAGATTCCTTTTATGAATCCATACCCAATTTATTAGATGTGAGTCCAGAAGTAAACCTATACTACCTTATCAAGCAAAAGCAGCTTTTAAAATTAATGAGAATCACTTTTAAATCTTCATGAATAACTTAAGGAGCCCAGACTTTGGGACCACTTACACAAATAATTTTTCACATCTCATTTAAATTAATCCTGATATTCTATTTTATAAACAGATTTTTATATGAAGCAGCACTATGTGACATATCGCTGTATTTGTCAAAAGAATCATACCAAGGATGCTTTCTGAGACCTGAACTTCTGGCTGGCCTTAGTACAGTAAGGTCAGGTTTTACCCCTGCATGGTGGCATATGCAAGTTTGAGGCCAGCCTGGGCTACACAGTGAGTTCAGGCCAACCTAAACTACATAGCAGACCCTGTCAAAAAAAAAAAAAAAAAGTTGGACATAGTGAATAACTGAAAGTTTTTCTTTTTCAGGGGTCAATAAACATTTTCTTAAAGGGCCAGGTAGTGAATACTTTCAGCTTCTGGACAATATACTAGTCTCTAGTAGAATTACTCAGCCTTGCCATTGTACCACAAAAGCAGCCACAAGCAATAATTAATATGTGCACATGGTTGTACCCAATAAAACTTTATTTACAAAAACAGAGAGCTGGCCTAGCTAGCTGATCCCAGCTCTGCATTACTCATTGCTTGGCAAGCACTCTACCACTGAGCTAAATCTCCAATCTAATTTTTTTTTTTTTGGCAGCGGGGATCAAACTTGGGACCTTGCACTTGCAAGGCAGGTGGCAGAACCACTGAGCTAAATCCCCAGCCCTAAATTTCCCAATCTTAACCCATTTCTAATTTAATCTGCATGTATTGTAAAATAGTTTTAAGTTCCCCAAAATACTTCTCAGCAAAAGGTGGTATATAAAGTAAACTAGATTCAATTTAGACTGACCTTGTAAACTTAAAAAAGCCTAGCTACTCTCAGTAGTATGGAATGTGGTGCCCAGCAAAATCTCCCCAAATCTGGCTTCCCTAAGGGAGAAAGAGGCACAGCTCCAGAAACTAAACTCTGAGTCAAATAAACATGCCAGTCTTCTACTGTCAGATGAAAATTAGCACTACATCCTTTCTTTTCAGTGATTATGCCTGCAAGCTGACAGAGAGCTGGTGACTGCTTTGGTTGGCAGGCTACCCATCCCAGCTGGAAAAACACTACTCTGACTCTGAGATACATCTTCATTCAAAAAGCTATGTCTGGGAATAAAGGGGCCTTTGTAGGAAACACCTCAGGCAATTTCTCTTATGGTAATAAATGAACAAGCAAGGAGGGCAGTGAGACTGTTCACTTTAAGGCTCATAGGACATCACAATACAATGCTTAGAATGTTTATATTTGGTGATGCAGCACAAAGAACCTTGGACTGGGAGTCATGTAAACTGTGTTTTACTTCTGACATTGCCAATGTTCCTTAAAGTTGAAAATAGAGAAAACGTTAAGATTTTATCCTTCACTGGTACAATACATATTATGTAATAATCAGACTTGCCATTTACTAAATGTCGCCATCTATCCTATGCCAGCAGCTTTATCTACAATTTGAAAGGATTTTATGAAATGAAGGAGAAAATGCAGACTAAGGAATTTTTGTTTCCCATCACATACCTTGAAAGTGACAGAGCTGGAGGGATAACCTGAGTGTTTACCCTAAAGTCCATAATCTCCATCATTTCATAGATTCTCTAGCTCTGTATCTTGCAGTTTCATTACAAACTTTATAAAACTTCTCTGTGAGTGGTGAAAAGTGTAGGATATAGGATACATTTTCAGCCTAATGATTGTAATTTTTAACTTCTAAATACTGCTACCAGGACCCGGGATTTACCTCAGTGGTTCTGCCACCTGCCTTGCAAGCACAAGGACCCAAGTTCGATCCCCGGTACCAAAAATAAATAAATAAATACTGCTACCATATTAATCCACTTAGTATTCTGTTACAGGGCTCACTCAAGGATGCCAAGTATCACGAATTCTTTCACAGCATCCTGTGAGGATGCTGGAAGTGTTTAACAGCTGGAAAACCAGCTTCAAGGAACAGGATTGAGCTGCTTAACAGGCCGGCCAACTGACTTCAGTTTTTTCAAATTTAAGATTTATTACTCTTATCTGAATCCTGCTAGGTCTCTTTGTTTCCTAATTGCCCCTTGGAAAATACAACTCCCACTTACCTCAACCACTGTTTTCAGGACATGCCCCATCCCCATCCCCATCCTGATTTGGTGAGAAGATAGAGGGATGGGGAAAGGAATCCTCAATAAACACAACACCCCCGCCCCCAACTCTCATTGACTTTGGAAAATAATTTCTGACAGTGCTCAAGAAAGACAGACTAGTTTTGGCTTAATTGTTTCAATCTGTTCTTAGTCAGAGTGATAGAGAAACAGAAGTGGGTAAAAGGAAAGGCCCAGATCCTTTTTTTGAAAACATCTCAGCTCTCAACTTTCACAAAGGACAATAACCTAGGAAACCAGAGTTGTAGACCTGCTTCAATATTAACTCTGTGCACCTGTGAGAAAATCACCCCCTTTTTCTTATAATTAACAGCCCTGTGAAATGAGATAATGGGCCTGGAGAGTAAACACTCCTCCTGCTGTCTCCTTCCTTCCACTATCATTTCCCTCTGTTTCTTAAATGTACAGTTAATCTCCAGGATGAGGACTGTCTAGTCAACACCATTCATTTCACAGGAAGTGGAGGCTCAGGAAAGTCAGAACTTACCCAAAGTCAACCTGAGAGTTATAGATGGGCCTAGACCTAGAAACTATGTCTTTTCACTTTGAAACTCAAACTATTACTCCCTTACAGGAGAGCACAGCTCTCTACACCCCACCTAAACCTCGTAACTCTCAGAAGATAGCTATCGCTATGACCCACTTCGCCAATAATCCAAGACACACAGTGCTTCAATATCTTTCCCCAAAGACACGAAAGGTCGGGGTCAGTGCTGGGCAGAGAAACAAGGTCCCCTCCCGTACGTCCTAGGGTCTCACCCTCGAGGAGACGGATACGCTGGTGAAAGATATAGCAAGGCTGTTCCTTGTACAGCGGCTGCTCGTGGATCGGGAGAGAGCGGTGGAATCTTGGGTGCTTCCAACCGCGGTCCCAAGGCGGAAAGACCGGCCGCGCCAACCCAGGCATGAAGTGCATCTTCCCAGCGTAGGTGATGGGCTCCAGTCCGGGGATCTCATATACCCTGTCCAGGGGGGGAGGCTCAGGCTTCCTCGTAGAGCGCACACCCCATTCGTATGCCCCTCGTCTCGGGATCCTGCAGCCCCCAGGGCCGAGCCGCCCACAGTCAACTAATGCCCGCTTTGCAGGCCCAGACGCCAACGCCATTCCAAGCAGGTTTCCTCAAGACCTCTACCTGGACGCCGCCATCTTCCCCCCCCCCCGCAGGGACTGACGGGAACGAAAAGGGCTGGGCGCCGATGCTCATCTTGTGAGTGGCAGTCACTTCAACCAATCACAGTCAAGATATCCTTGTCTTGTTCCCCACCCCACAAGCGGCTCTCTTTGCGTTGTAGGTGGGGCTCGCCTTTCCCCGGGGGGAGTATGGAGGAAACGCCCGAGTATCCTCACGTGAGGGGAATTTGCGGAGTTTAGGTGAGTGGTCGCATCAGGGCCTAGGGCGAGATTGGAAGAGCGCCGCATTTCACGACTAGACACAGGATGTTCCGCGGCTTACGAGCCTTTGCACTTAGGCAAGACCCCAATGCCCCTCGCTGTGAAAATAAAGTGGGGCTAGAAATAAAATACAGTACGTAGGCTAATGCCCCTGTACCATGTCCAGCACGTAGTGAGTGCCCAGGGGAAGTTTCCGCTCCATCCGCTTCTCACTGCTGTGGGTGCTTTTATGAAAAACACAACGTGTGACTTGTAGAGCTTAAAGTTTAGTAGGAGACATGGACAGTAAGAAAACAATACACACTTCCTGTCCCTTCTCCCTGATACTTTTCTCTAGATTTAACTCTGTCATATTATGTTTTCCATTTTGATTTTGTGTGAGTGCAAAGGTTTCAGTTTATCCTCTGCTGTGTCCTCGGCACCTAGAACAATGTCTGGCACCTGGTAAATGCATGTTCAGTAAACAAATGCAAAACAGACAAATAGAAGACTGATAGTAACAAGGGCAGGTTCTGCGAGACCCCCGAGGGGAGATGATCTTTCAGCCAAGGTCTGGAGCTTGGTAGAGGTGGCCAGAAGAGTAGACATCTATCAAAATGTGGCTTGAAGATGGCTCCTCATAGACTAAAAACGCAGAGGTGGAGCGGAGGCATGGATCAAATCTTTGAAATTCATGACGAAAATGGCCAACTTCACCAGTTTCTAAAACAGCAGAGAAACAGGGAAAAGTAAATGTAAGTCAGAGACCGATACGACTAACTCTTACACTGTTTAAGCAGTTTACAGTTACCAGAACTCTTTCCCTTTTTTCTTTATAGCCTCTAAAACAACGTGGAGTAAGAAATGGGCATAAAGAAAGGACTAGACCTCATTCACTCATAGTACATACCTGGTACATAGCACACAATTAAAATGGATTGGATCGTTGGAACACCATGCTGGCTGCTAGGCTCTGTCTTACCTTGTTTACTCTGTTACCTCTCAGCACCTATTTCTGTGCCCGCCTCTCAGACCATATTTGTTTAGAAGTTTCTTTCTGTTTTTTTGTTCATTTGCTTTGCAGTACCGGAGATCAGTGGGAAAACACAAAGAATAAGACACTGCCCTTGTCTTCCTAAGAGTCCCAGCCTGCTAAACCTTCCTGAAGTCATAGATTTCCTGTGTAGTTGAACTAGATTTTCTGAAGCCAAACACTTTAATGTACTGTGAGATTTCACACAGAGGAAACCAGTGGTAATAAGTGGTAGGTGCACCCCACCAGACAGTAGATTCCATGGTTGACCCATTCTTGTCCCAGTGCTTGCACAGCCTGGCACCTGCACGCCTTGCAGAGGGTGTGAGAAATGGAGGAGACAACAGCATAACCCCCATGTTTTCCTTCACCCAGGCCTCACAGAACCTGACATGCTCCAGGAAGAGCATGCAGTTGTCCTTCTCAAGCTGGCCAAGCCCCACTGATTATGGACAAGAGGGAGGAGGAGGATGGTGAGGAAGCCTGGCTGCAGCTGCGGCCTGTGGAGCCCTTACCCTCCCAGTGCTGTGGCAGTGGCTGCGTACCTTGTGTGTTTGACCTCTATCACCGAGACCTGGCAAGGTGGGAAGCAGCCCGAGCCAGCCAGGACAGGAGCCTGCTAAGTGGGAAGCAATCACAGGTGAGGAGGCTGCCTCTCAGACTAGAGGGCCATGGTGCCAGTGTTTACCTGCTCTAGAAGCCTTCCCTGGACAGCAGAGAAAAGAGTGTGCATATTAGAAGCTGGCAGGCCAGGGGTCAAAGTCTAGGCCTGGAACAAACTTCGTAGCAGTTTTGTGGTTGTAGGCAAAAAAGTTCATTAACCTTCCTATGGTTTAATTTCTCCATCTGTAAAATGGGACTAAGCATTTGTAATGTATGGTATAGAGCCTGACATTTATTTCACTTAACAAATACCTGCCGAGTACCCATTATGCACCAGGCCCTCCAAGCTCTTGAGAAATTGAGAGTGGGCAAGACAGACATGGTCTTTGCCCCATGGAATGAATGAGCCGATAATGTATACTAGGTAAATAGAGCATGTTGTGGTTGTTTCTTCCTCGCTGCCCTCTACTGACTTTTTCTTCCCTTTCTGAGCTCAACTTTATAGTCTAGACCAAGCAATCTGGGCCTTCATTGTAGTGTTTAAGAGCTTTCAGAATTTCAATTATAGGTGTCCGACACTGGAGAGTTCGGCTCCATATTCTACACATTGAGAAACTGAGGACCCATTCCTCTGACACTGTGGACAGGTCTAGTGTTGAATCTGTTCCCATCCTGGTCTCTCGCCTCTGAGCAGACTTCCCATGGTCCTTGTCCTTTCTGACCACTGTGGAGTAGAGACATCTCCTCCCATTGCTGCCTCTGTTAATGCAGCCTGGCCCCATTGTTACTTTTTGGTCATCACAGTTTGGCCCGAAATGCACCAAAGTGTAGTTATCTTTACACATGTGGTTCCTAAGCTATAGATCATATAGATCATAGATCCTGAACAAATGCAGTTGTTTTTGTTTGTTTGTTTCACTCCAAAACATGACCATATGTATTCCTGTTAAATATCTCCTTGTAATTCTGCCTCTGGAAGGTTGGAGTAGAGGTCAGAGCCTTGGGGGCTCTGCCAATAACCAAGGAGTCCCTGTGATTTTCCCTTGTCACTGCTTTCATCTTTATGTAGCTCACTCCTCCACTTCTTTCTGACTCTGCTCAAATCTTGTTCACTCTTTTTTTTTTTTCTCGTCTGTGTGTTGCTAGTAATTGAACTCAGGGCCTCATACATGTTAGACAAGTACTTTTCCACTGAACTACATCTGCAGTCCTTCTTCCTAATCCTCAGCACTACCAGAGACCATCTATATGTACTTGTTTGCATGTACCTTGTCTTATCTCCTTGGTAAAATGTGAGTTTTATAAGAGAAGGGGTCTCTGGCTCACTCTTCTATCCTCAGCATCTTGAGCAGCTCCTGGCATGATAGTCAATAAGTATTTGTTGAATAAACGAGTTTCTCCTAGTTCTACTAAGTACCACATCCTGTGTACCAGGCACCAGGAAATTGGTGATAAAGATGCCAGGTTTACAACCCTCAAACAACTCAACTTATAGAAGAAGGACAAAAACCACAAGAGTATAATAACGTGTAAGCTGAGCCCCAGTTCAAACAGATGTGTGGTTTTGGCCATGTCACTGTAGTTGGCTGAACCTCAGTTTTCTCATCTGAATAATGAGGCTGTTTATACTTTGTAAGTTATTGTGAGGATTTCATTAGCTAAATATGTAAAGCCTCTGGCATATAATAGGTGCTCAATAAATAGTAGGTGTTTTCACCTATTAAAACAAATAGTTAAATGATTCTTGTAAATCTTACAAAATAGTATTTTTTAATCTAAGAATTTTAACAAATAATTGTAAAAGATTTTACATTTCGATAGCCATTTACACTTTATAAAATGTTTTTCTATTATCTCATCTGACCCTTATGATAACCCCACAAATATATCAGGAATGAGTGGCCCTTTTAATAGATAAGGAAACCGAAACCCAGAAGATCAGATGACCTGTGTAAGGCTGCACAGGTGGGCAGCAGCTCAGCTGGGGCTAAGCTGGGGCTGGCCTGGTGCTCCTGATTCCCGGCCCAGTGCTCGTGGCAGCTGTGGCAGAGAGTGCCCGGGTGCTCTGGCTGCTGATGAACTGGTCATCTCAGCCTGCATGAGGAGTGCAGTGCAGGAAGTGGTGTGGTGGAGGCAAACCTGAGAATAGTAGCCCAAGAGTTTCTGTCGGTTCTGTGACACTGTCGGCACTATGTGGGCAGTTGGGGTTTGTCTTCATTACTTTTCACATTGGTGAGACAATACTCACTACCCGAAGTTAAAGGAGAAAAGGTCTATTTGGCTCACAGTTTATAGAGATTTCAGTCTGTGATCAACTGGCTCCAAGGCAGTGTGGCAGAGGGGCATTGCAGAGAAGAGACAACCTATGGTGGGCAGAAGGCAGCAAAGCAGTGAAGTAGCAGCAGCAGCAAGCAAGCCTGCCTTTATATTTCATCCAGGCTACCTGTCCTTTGGGCAGGTCCACCCACACCCAGGGTGGGGCACCCCCTAATCCCAGCATCACCCTAGATCCAAAGAGCCCCGCCCATGACCATGTGAGACTTTGGAGGGACATCTAGATATAGCCATAACAGGGCTCCAAAGCTGGTACCCAACCCTGGCCTGACAAGGGGAGTCCCAGGTCAGATGAATCAGGTGTGGAGATTTTCTAGGAGAGCGCTAGGTGAGTTATACATTCAGAGATAGCCTCCTAGAGGAGGCCTAGGGAGGGGTGGAATGGTAAGGACAGTGGGCTGAGACTCATAAATTTGAGTCCCTGCTTACAGTGTGACTTTGGACAAGTAAGCCACTACTGCTCAGCCTCTTATTTCCTCAGATGTAATAAGGGCATTGGATTAGATCATCTTGAAAGGCCCATTGTTTCTCAGCTGTGCTGATCTGGAGTTTAGCAGGTTGGCAGGATGAGCAGGTCTTTCATACACTGGAGGTGAGTGTTCTGGATAGAGGGTTCGCCTTGAGCAATGAGGACCCAGACATAGGTGCAGTAGGTGTTCTTGGAGGAGCGAGAGAAGTCAGGCATTGGATGCATGAGAGACAAAATGAGGCTTGAGGTTCATCCACTGGGCCCTTGAGTATAGGCTAAAAAACCTGCACTTGATTCTGGGGTCGAGGAGAGCTACAGAAGGCTTAAAAGCAGGGTAACCCCAGTGTACAGTGCTAACATTGTTAGCAGTGTAATGCTGTTGGATCAGAGGGAAGTGAGTTGGAGCTGCAGTCTGTCACCCAGAAAGCTTACCAACTGAGGCAGCTCTCGCAGGAACATGGGGAGGATGCCGTGCGCCCCTTGAGCTCAGCCTCTACCGTCTTTTCCGTTTGTAGAGCTTCCCCTCCTCACTGAACCCAGAGAGCTTCTTGGCCTTCCACATCAGTGCTGTGGAAAGACTCACTAAAGACACCTACCGGGTCCGGTTCACACTGCCTGGGAACAGCCAGCTCGGCCTGCAACCCGGACAGCACCTCATCCTAAGGTATACTCAGGTGGTGGGAGGACCAGAGCTTCACTGCCCTGCTTTGCTGTTGGCTGGATGATCCAGAGCAACTTGCCTGACCTCTCGTCAGGCTCCATTTTTGATCTTCAAAATAGAAAGAGCCATGTGTGACTCAGAGGGTTCCCAAGATGGAGCTGGATAGTACATTTTCAAGATAAATGAGCACTTTAATAGTGTTTATCAGCCATGGCACAGTTATATACGTGAACTTGTGTGAGCCTCACAAATCCCTATGTGTTAGGACCTTATCATCCACCAGAGGAAAATGAAATCAGAGAAGTTTGGGAACCTCCCTGAGGTCACATAGTTAGGAAATGGTAGAGCTAGAATTTGAAGGCAACACTCTGGCTCTAGAGCCTGTGGTTTTAACCTAATCCGATTAGCACCAGTTGATAGAACGAACACTGTCACTGAGAACAAAGAACTTGGCCAAAATCATATAGCTAATCAGTCATGCAGGCAGGATTCAAACCCAGACAGCCTGTCTCCTGCCATGCCTCTGAGGTTCCTCTGGCCTACATCAGAGTTCTGCTTCCATCCCACTCCTTTCCAGGGACAGAGCCTTCAGGGTTTCCAGGTAGAGCACCTGCCAGGCAGACAGCTCTGTGGGTCTGAGGCTTTGGAAGTTGTCTGCACATAGCTGGCTGGCATTTGGGAGCACGTGTGTGAAAAGAGGAAGTGCTGAAGACACTGGAGTTTGTGGGATTGGCAAGAGAAGGAGGTGCCAGCGAAGGAGACAGGAAGAGCAGTCAGAAACAAGATGGAACCCAGGAGAGGGTTGGCCACTTGCCTTGCAGTGGCCCCAGATGCTTATGTCCAGCATCTTCTGGCCTGTGCACTGGCTGGAAGTCTTTGAATTTCCAGGGGACAGGAGGAACCACAGAGTGGGTCCCAGCCCCATGGAGCGCTCCATCCATGAACTAGGGATGCCCAGAACCCCTGCTTCTAGGTTGGCTCCTGTCCTCTTAGCCACACTGGCAACATTCTTAACACACATCTGACCCCGTGACTCCCCATTCACCTGCCTTCTAGAGCACCACACTTTCCACTAGGACTCGCCCACATCCCTTGTCTCAGCCTCGATCCACCCATTGGTTCCTTACTTGCCCACAGTATCTCACTGCCGCCGAGCTTTGCCCAAAGCTACCCCCTCTTCCAGAAATTGCTTACCTTCCTGTCCCCGCTTGCACCTGTCAGCACCTACTCCTCCTTCTGTACCCAACTCCAGGAGGTACCTGAGGTTCTGTACCTCAGGTGACACTGATTGCTCCCTCTGAAACCTGTCAGTTTTACCTCTGTGGCAGCTGATGTCGCTGCTCTTTGCATCTAAGCCATGTCATCTGTTCTGTTTCTTGTTTCCTCATTAGTTTCATGAATGTTTCCATCCAGCCCTCCTGCTGCTGATGCCCTGGGACAAGGCCTGTTTATGCTCTACGTACCTGAGCAAACCATGTTTTCCTGCATGGGACTTGAGAGAGGAGTGTTTGGGTGCGCCCAGGCCGAGCAGCAGTGAGGAGCCCAGCTCGAGAGTCAGCAGTACAGTTTAGCTGTGCAAGTGACTCTCCTTACTGCACCAGATTCTGCATTTATGCTATAATTTGAATGAAATTCGGCATATAATGTGCTGGATGTGTAGCAGGCATTTGATACAAATGGCTGTTACTGTTACTGATCACTGTCCTGTCGGCCGTGGCTGACACTGCAGAGCGGGTTTGTGCAGGACAGGGCTTTGAACTAGGGCCCCTTTAGGATCCTTCCAGGTCTGCTTCTTCTGGCGCGTGGCAGTAAGGGTTCCATAAATCTCAGCAGTTGTTTTTGTCTTTACCGCTCTATGGTTGAGGTCAGGAAAAAACCCAAGATACTTTGCCTTGTCAACCTGTTTTGTTTTGTTTTTGCAATGCCAGGGACCAAACCCAAGACTTCATGTACCACACAAGCCCTCTTCTCACTGAGCAAGATCCTCAGCCCATTTTTTGCAGCACTTGCTCTTGTCTTTCCAGTGTAGCCACACAATCAGAATACAGATAGCCGTTCCCATTTTGCTGTGGGTGGTGCTCAGGCACTAAAGGGCCCTCTCTGGGTCTCATAAGCAACACGTGGCAGTGGTGAGCCCAGCACTCTTTGTTCTGCAGCACCTCACCTGCCCCTCAGTAAGGTCCTCTAGGGATAACTGGAATTCATCTGTACTTTCACCAGCCTTACAGAGGAAGTGCTGAATGAGGGTTTGTTGAATGACTAGCTGACCACTGCCTGACAGTAGGCTTCTCTTTCCTAGAGGTGTAGTGGAAGACTTAGAAATTCAGAGAGCCTATACTCCCATCAGCCCTGCCAATGCAGAAGGATACTTCGAAGTTCTAATTAAGGTGAGTTGGTGCTTGTGGAGGATGCTGCCATATGCAGTGAACCAGTGCCTCCTTCACCAGCTCTTTTGGGATGGAGCACTTTCCACCTGGGGTTTGCATGGGAGGAGGCTGACTTGAGGGAGCAGCGGAGCCAAGTGAAGGGGAGGGGGACCCTACTGCGAGCAGCGCATATTCCCAGGAGACTTTACCCTCTGGCGAGTGAGCTCGGGCCAGGACAGGGAGAGGGACAAGCTCCCTGCACCTTCTGTGTGCAGGGGGCTGGGGGCCAGAGGCGAGTCAGACACTGTGCCGACCCTGGAGGAGCCCACACAGGACAGTGACCGCCTGTAGACAGTACAGCACCATAGGTGCTGTGACAGAGAAGCTCAGCCCAGCTCAGGGCAGCAGGGGGTACAAGGCTGGCAGGCTGGGTCTCCTGGCGTGAGCCATGTGATTAAGGAGTGGAGAACCCCAGCATGGATGGTGGCCAAAGAGGGTGGTTTGGGGATGTCAGTGCATCTTCCCAGAACAGAAGGGGAGGCTGAGGGGGCAGCAGACACCTAGAGAGAATCAGGCATAGGTGGGGCATGGAGGGCCTTGTGGACTGAGCTAATGTGACCCTGCCTCTCGGGGGAGCTGGGCAGGGGCGTTGGAGATGGGCCTTGAGGAAGAAGTAAAAATGGTGGCAGGGAATGACATTGTAGGCTGAAGGGACAGACACAGGAGGGATGACACAGAACAGGTCTGGGAATTGTACCCAACCCAAGCCAAGTGGCAGGAGGAGAGACTGCTTGTGGGGCAGCCGCAGAGGTGAGATGAGCAAGGTGGGGTGGGTACAAAACGCCCTCGAGAGCTGAAGACCAGGCAACATGTGTAAGAAGTCACGGAGGTCGCATTATGTGGAGAAGGTAATTAGGTTGAATGAGGCTGAACTGCTGATGCTCTAATGTTTTTAACTTACAGAGATAGCAATGTGATATGGGGCAACCTAATGTGTAGCTCTAGACCATCCTTTCCCCAGTGAGTCCTAGGGAACAGGACTCCTGGAGGAGAGCTCTGCCATCCTAACCTCCCCTCCAAGACATGCATTGTTATCCCTGGTTCACTGACCAGCGAGCTGAGGCCTAGGAAGAGCTGAGGTCCCGGCTTGGCAGAAGTGCTGCTGGTGGGCCAGGCCTGGCCCCTGACTCACAGACCCCAGCGCTGTGCCGGGCTCCCGCCTTCCCTCCTGCCTGCAGAGCATGAAAGTTTATTCCCTCACACATAAGCCTGGATGGGATCCCTTCTGCACACTGATGTTTGTCTGGGAGATTCCGCAAATCCTCTCCAAATGGCTTGCTTCCCTGCGATGCTTGTCTGGGTGTGTTTTTGTCGAGAGGATAAGCCTGGAGACAGTTCTCTGGAGCAGCTGGATCCTTCCCAGCTGCAAGGCTGGTTTTTTCCTTCGTTTGCCGGGAAGCCCTCATTATCCCTAAGCTGCTGGCTAAGAAGAGCCGAAAATGTCTTTGCAAATTGGGAAAGCAGCAGTCGGGGGGCGGGGCGGGGGGGGGGGAGTTTACCTTCCCAGATAGAGAGAAGAGAGGGCTCCTACTTAGGGACCTGCTGGCCACTGGGCACTGCTGTTCTCACTCTCTTGTTTCCACCTCATAACCACCAGTAGATCACATTGTCCCCATTTTACAGCTCAAAGGCCCCTCGGGCAATGTGATCACCAGTGGAAGGAGTGTGTGTCAAGCCTTTTCTTTAGCCAGGTTCTGTGTGATTGCTGGAGACACAAAAGAACCCTTCCCTTCTCCTTGGTGCTGTCTGTGCAATAGAACCTCTGTGGCCATGGCTGGGTGTGCCTCCCCCAGTCTGGGGCCAGAAACCAGAGTGCTCTGAGACACACAGCCTCCACAAGGCAGGAGCAAAGCTGTGTCCTTGGCGCGGGGAGGGAGTGGCATACTTCAGTGGTAGTGCACTTGCCTAGCGTGATCCCCAGCACCGCCCCCCCCCCATGCAGACGGCGCCGTGGAAGTCAGGGATGGTATCACAAGTGGCTGTGGGGGCCGAAAAGCAGCTCTGGAGATGAAAGCCTACTCTTTCCTTCACCCTTCATTCCAAACACCCTTTCAGTCCTGTCTCCAGTGCTTCCCCTTCACCCCGGCCTACCATGGCCACCTGTTCCTCCCAGGTGGGGCTGTTCTAACCTTGACTGTGGCACTCCTGAGGCTCAGAGTCCTCTCAGTGCTCTGATCCTGACCCCAGGGAATTCCATCTTCCCCATCCTTCACGGCCCAACTCAAACCTTCCTCTTCCAGGACCGCACCCTCCTTCGGGCTCCCCCCACACTTTATCCTCCTCACGGGGTGCTGGGTGGTCTCTCCTTTGTGTGTGTCTGAGACATAGGTGCCTTATAGAGCCCCTCAAGAGTAGGACTTGGATCTGGATTAATTGGCTCATTCATCCATTCGTTCAGGTGTTTTGGAAGTCCTTTCCATGTTTCAGGCAATGGCTTCCTTCATGGAGCTTAAGGGCCATCTGTTTCCCCTGCAGTCCCAGCATGGCGTGGGCAGAGAGCAGGCTGGCACCCAGGTAGTGTCGTCTGCCCACCCCCGTGGAGGAATCCTTTTCACACCTTCATTGTCTCATTCAGCCAAGAGATGGTGTAGGATAATGCAGAGGCTACAAATGGGTGGCCTGTGGGCTGTACCTGGCACACAAATACTGTCCTTGGTTTTGACCTGCATGGTGTTTTTAAATTTTTGATTAATTTCTGACATTTAAAAATGGAAGATTTTAAATAAAAATACAGATTTTCTGCCCTTCTTAGAAAATCAGAAGGAAGATCTGGTAGCATCAGCCTCCCAAAGTAAGGACTGATAACTGCAGAGGGCTTCCTTCTTAGAAGAGCATTCTCTTACCCGTTTGTCACTGTCCCCACCATTCCCTGCTGCCTCCTTGACCCTGAGTTTGCTGCCATTCATCATCTCCTGGTTCTTCATTGGGTTATGTTACCTGCATAACCCCTGCAGGCATTTGGACTTGAGAACTCTGGTGGGGGCCTCAGTCCTATGGGTTTGCGGCCCAGCCTTGCCCTCTACCATGTGCATAAGCTTCTGAGCCTTATCTTGCAGGATGCAGAGGAGGATCATATGGGATCACACCTGTAAGGCCTCAGCAGACAGGAAGAGCTCCCCATGTGTGGCTGGTGTGTGGTTGGCAGCACATGCCTGTCCCACTGAGCTCCCCCTATGTTTGGTTCCAGTGCTACCAGACTGGGCTGATGTCCAGATATGTCGAGTCCTGGAGAGCTGGAGACACAGCTTTCTGGCGAGGACCTTTTGGAGACTTCTTCTATAAACCAAACCAGGTCAGTGCCAGTCCCCTAAATGCTGAGGAATCCCCAACTTGTCTGCAGGGCTGTGATTGTCATATTTCAGGCTGTAGAATCTCACTCTGCCACTAGTTGATCTTAAATCCAATCCCAAGAGGATCCTTGGGATTGGACATGGGAGGAGATGGAATAGACACTAAAAAACCCCCAAAAAACCTACCCGCCATGTTCCAGGACTGTTCATGGCTGCCCATCGCTTATGAAACCAGACTTGTGTACTTGGTCTTTGGGACCCTTAATACCTGTGGCGCTCAGATACTGTTCAGTTTGCATTCCACTTGCGACACTAAATGCAGCCCGTGGCTCCCTGCGGAGGAGCCCGCTGCTTCCTGGCTCAGAAGGCTCTTGCCGTCATCTTCTTGTCATGGGCAAATCCTTCCAATAACTTTCTCAGAAAGGATTTCTCATTAGTCGGTGCATATCTGGAAAGCCATTTGGCAGTATGTACCAAGGGTCTTAAGAGTCTTTAAATCCTTTGACCTAGTAATTCACTTCTGGAAGTCTGTCATACAGAAAGAATCCAAAATGCCAACTCTTTTGCATGCCATGGCATCTGTATTTAAAATAGCAAACATTGGAGACAACTGAATATCCAGTGACAGGGGGACCAGGTAGATGGGGTTACAGGTGCTTGATACACTTGTGTCCTGAATTTTAAAATTATGTTTATAAATTATTTTCTATGCTTACTTAGGTATACAACCAAGTGGCATCTACCACATACAAAACTGAATATACAACAGGTTTAGAAACTAATTGCACAAAAAATATGAAAGGAAAATGCAATGAAATGTTAGCAGCTCTATGTAGTGGAATTCTGGGTGATTTTTATTTTCTTCATTATACTTTCCAATTTACCTGCCATGAACACCTGTTGCCTTTATAATTAGGAAAACAAAGCAAAACGAAAACAATCATGCTTGCCTCACCATTCTTTTTGTTTAATTTTAAAACAGCTTTTATTGCTTTCTTTCCTTATTATGAATGCAACACATGTTCATTACTCCCCCAAAAATCTGATCTAGAGAGACAAAAAGAAGAAGGCAATGCCTACAGACATACCAGTCTTACTGCCCTGGTATATATTCTTCTAAGTCCCCTTCGGTGCCTCAGTACTTATGCACACACACACACACACACACACACACACACACACTCTCACTCATGTGTGTATATATAATACAGCTGTCAGGGTTGGGGTGTGGCTCAGTGCTAAAGCACTTGCCTAGCACCCAGGAGGCCCAGGATTCAGTCCCCAGCACTGTACATAATAATAATGTCGGTCAGACAGGTGGCACCTCCTATGTGCAGGTCCTGGCCTTAGCACTTGCCCTATGGTAACTCACTTAATTGTCATGAGAGCACTTAGCTGCGTCTACCCCATTTTACACATAACATGAGGTGTGTATGCTTGTGTTCTTCCACAGTATAAGTACTGTGCTCAGCCCTGCTATTTTGTTGTTTTTGGTGTTTTTTTTCTTTTTTTGAAACAGAGTCTCCCTATGTAGTTCAGGCTGGCCTCAAATTTGGGGCAGTCCTGCCTCAGCCTCCCAAGTCCTGGGATTATAGGGACATGATACCACAAGTGTGGCTCAGCCCTGCATTTTAACTGAGTGTGCCCCTGGGTCTCCAGGGCCTTGAGGCCAGGGCATGGGAATTGTTCCTGTTTCCTCCTGGCCTAGAGCAGATGCTGAATCAAAGTCATCTTGGCCACCTTTTCTGAGGGAGCCTCCTGATGCCTTGTGTCTGTTGCTTTGCATCCAGAGAACACTCGAAAGTCCTGATTTCTCATCTAGATGGGTGTAGGGCCCAGAGGGAAGGGGGCAGGGATGATCCAGTTGGCCACTGATGCTTGGCCAGGGCTTGGCTCTGTTCCCCTGAGGATACCTGGATGCTCCTGACCTTTGCCGAGATGCTTGCTCCTCTGCAGCTGTCTCGGTTACAGATGGCCGTTCTGTCAGCCTTGAGGGTGGCACCCAGGTATCTAAGTGTTAATGCCCCAGGGATGAGCCAGACGGAGACCCAGACATCTGATGGAGGAGACAGACATGTGGACACATGACCACAGTGTGCCGTTGCTGTACCAAGGGAGGTGTGGGGCGCAGAGGGCACAGGAAGGAAGACCCTCGCCTGCCCGTGGCTCGGAGAAGGCTTCCCAGGAGATAGCCTGAGTGGGGGTGACAGGAAGGAGGGGCGAGGCAGTTAGAAGCCCTGGAGGCTGGAGGAAGCACCAACACTGCATGGCCGCAGGAAGGAGCCTGGCTTAGCAAGGGGAAGGAACCTAATGGGATTAGCTTTGGCTCCACACGAGACTCTGTCATCTCACGCAATCCCACAACAGTTCTGGAATAGGTGCTATTACAGGGCAGTGTTAGTATCACTTTCTCTCTCTTTTTTTTTTTTAACTAGTGAGGTTCAGATTGGTGAAGGAACTTACCCACAGCACATAGTTGGGGATTCTATACACAGAGGCCTAATCTTCAGAATGAGGGAGGAGAATACCTCTCTGCATGGGTCAGGCAGCCATTAAGGCACTGACCTAAAAAGTCTTACTCCTCGTTAGGAGGCCCAGAACTTGGGAATGGATTGAGAGAAGAGGAGGTGATGGTGCTGGGCCTCACTTGTGCTGCATGGCTCTTTGGGGCCAGTGCTATGGTAGGCACGTGTGTATATTATCTCATGTCTTCTGAGGAGAGCAGGCTCAAGGGGTCCAAGGTGGGGCCTGAGATCTCTGCAGGGACGGAGAAAGCATCCCAGAGATGGAATGGAGCTGTGAGTGGGCAGGGCTTGAGTGGGAGCAGACTTCAGCTCTGTGAGGTGGGAAGACAGGCAGCCTCCAGTGGAGCAAGCTGCCTTGGGAAGGAGTGAGTTCCACAGCAGCAGAAGATGTAAGCGTCCCCTGTGGCGATGGTTGGGTCATACTGCTAGGCTCCCTTTCAGCCGAAGGCCTGCCCTCCACAAGCCAGAGTGGCTTCCTGGAAGAGGTAACGGGACCTGATTGGGTGGGACACGCTTTCAGGAAGGGCAGTGCTGTCCATTCTAGAAAGCCCAGGAGAGGGCAGCACAGTAGGGTGGGGTGAGAGCCCACTTTGCCTGTCACTCTCCTCCCCAGTATGGTGAGCTCCTCATGCTGGCTGCGGGCACGGGCCTGGCCCCCATGGTGCCCATCCTACAGAGCATCACAGACAACGCAGATGATGAGACCTTTGTCACCCTTGTCTGCTGCTTCAAGACCTTCGACAGCATCTACCTGAAAACATTCCTGCAGGAGCAGGCCCGTTTCTGGAACGTCCGCACTGTCTTCGTACTTAGCCAGGTGAGCCCAGTGTGGCAACTTCCTTCCCTGAGACCCTGTAGTGCCCTTGTACCCATCTCGAGGACTGGTTGTGGTCTCTTTACCCCAGGCCACACTAATCCCTGATCCTGGTGGAGCACCCACCATGCACCTGGCTGAAGGCAGGTGTTACCACAAAGCTCAGAGGTGAGGGCCCGCCATGTCATGCCTGCTGTCACCTTAGACAGGTGAGCCAGGACTTGCCCATGGCTGCACCTTCCTGAGCTCCAGCTCCTCCCCAGCATCCTGTGCTGCCTCCCTCACTGTGTGTCTTCACCAGTGGTTGGGCTGGGGCCTGCCTGTGGAGACGGGACAGGTCACTACCAGGTGAAGTCCCTTGAGGCTAGGACCACATGTCCCAGTCAGCACTCTCTCCTCAGCCCTCAGCATGGTGCCAGGCAGGGCAGGGACTGTGTCAGTGACTGATGGAGCAAACTGCGTTCAGGTGACTTCATGTAGTAGCCCCCCGCCACCTCATGTCGTTCCTCCATGCCAGGACAGCTGCCGTCAGACTCACCAGGCTGCAGGTTCTCTAGCCGGAAGCAGTCTACCTCCTTATCCCTCTTCTCTGATTCTCTGTTCCCTCCATTCACCCCAGTGACCCTTCCCAGGCCCTCCCTGCCCTCCCTGCCTGGGCCATATAGCATGTGGACTCTTTGCATCTTACCTCAAGGCTAGCCCCTCTCTGTTTCCCTATCTTCCTGTGGTCTGTAGCTCCACTTTTTCTCCCTGCTCCTCTTCGGTTGGGGGTCCCCTGCAAAGCCTGCCCTCCATTCCTCCTTACTCAGGGTAAGCCCTCTTGCCCTGTTCTGTGGACACTGGCTTTATCAATATCCTCTTTAAGGGAGTTTGAAATAATCCCTGACAATTTACATGATCCTCTCCACTGTGGCTGGGTGGGTGGGGGCTGGGAAACTGGGTTTTCCTCCCCAGTGCCAGAGTTCCTGGGCTCCTCAGGAGGCAAGGTGTGCATGAACATCAAGAGAGGCATGCTTGGTGAACAAGAGCAGCAGCAGGACGTGCCCAGGGAAGGAGTGTGAGGAATGGGCTAAGAGTAGGCCCAAAGGCCATGCCAGCCACCCTGCCTGAGAGCCTGGGCCAGGAGGGTAGTCACCCAAGCTGCTGGCCAGCACCCCTTTTCTTCCGCTGTCCCCAAGTACAAGCCAGATGCTAGGGACACAAAAAATGAATGTGATCGTCTTGCAGCCCTCACCTGTGTTAGGGCAGACACCATGGGACAGTTGATAAGGGCTTCCTCACAGAGTACTTTCTCTGGGCCTTGCCCCATTCAGAGCACTTATGTGGGGCCGGGGATTTAGCTCAGTGGTTCCGCTGCCTGCCTTGCAAGCGCAAGGTCCAGAGTTCAATCCCCGGGACCAAAAAAAAAAGGATCAAAGCACTTAGGTGTATTAACTCATTTAATCCCACCAGTTTCATGGGGCTTATCCTACCATCATGCCCCCTTTATAAATTTGGAAACTGTGGCACAGAAAGATTAAGAAACTTGGCCAGAATAGCATAGCTAGCTGGTGGAAAGCTGAATGGGACCCATGTGGTCCCACTGAGAAGTCATGCATATGGATAACACAAAGTACTAGAGGATGTCCAGGACACTGATGGCCTGAAGGGAGGGCCTCACGAGGCAGGTGGCAGGTGGCCTTTGGACCTGGCCGTGAGGCAAGCATTAAAGCTGACCTGGGGTTATGCAGGTGGGTGGATAGGTGTCAAGGCCTGGTAGGTAAAGTGGAGTAACTGTGGCGGCTCCTTCCCATCTACCCACTCTGGACTCAGGAGGCCTCCTCCCCTGCCTGGGCCCCAGCAACAGAAACCTTAGGGGGTCCCTTGCTCCTCCCGCTTCCTGCCTGCTCTTCATCCTGCAGCCCTAGGGAGAACTGATCATACCCCTGGCCTGCTTCTGGCCCCTCCCTACTGCTCTCAGGACACTATGGGAACCCAGGCTCCTGGCTGCCCTCCCTGTGTGCTGTTCTTGGAGTCATTGTCTCTGTGGGTGCGGGTGTGCACCTGCTTGTCCCTCACCTCTCCTAAGGTGCAAGTCCATCTTGGTGCTGTTCCAGAGCCCCAGCCTGGTAGCTCCTTCCTCTTCACTGCACCATCACTGTTTACAAGTCCCCTCCCCACCTGAGCAGCAACCAGACCCAGCCTGTGCACAGCTGGGCAGGGGTCTGCCTCACCCGACTGGCCTGAGGGACTTGGGCAGTGGAAAGGGGAGGTAAGGCCTCATCAGGTGGGTCAGGGAGGGGGAAGAGGGAGCAGGAGATCAGCGGGGACCCCCTCGTCACCAGCAGAGGGTCCATGGGATCAGACCAGCGCTGGGAGGTGGGCTGCAGCAAGCACATGTGAGACGAGAGGCTCTGCCAAGGGCACCCTCACTGGTTTACTGCACACGGGCTTTCCACAGCCTGTGCCTACGTCCCAGGGCTCAGAGATGAGTCACTCAGCTGGGGCGTGGAGTGGGGCCTTCCCGCTCTGCTCTCTCCCTCCCTGTGCCCTCACCCTGGGAACGAGCAGCTGGCCTTCATAGGTCTGCAGAGTCATGGTCCCACTCCTGGCTGTTTTCCTTGTTGGTGTGCTCCTTACATGGTTTCTCCTCTTCATTAAAGTTCTTTTAGCTGGGTATTCAGGACTTCAAGGTCAGCCTGAAATATATAGTGAAACCCTGTCTCAAAAAAAAAACAAACAAACTTCAAACTACACATACTTAATAATATGGGGGTTTTTTTGGGTTTTTTGTTTTTGTTTTTTTTGCACGTTATACTTCAATGAAATGTTCACTTAAAAACAAACAGATTTGGGCCGGGGATTTAGCTCAGTGGTGCCGCTGCCTGCCTCTCAGGCACAAGGTCCTGAGTTCGATCCCGGGTACCAAAAAAAAAACCAGATTCCTCCAAGTCACCTGGATGTGGAACTTTCACTTTGGGACTCCGAGGAGAAAATCCTCAAGCCAAGACTAGAGAGGCCTAAAGAGAAGGAGCCTCATCCCCCAGGCCTCCTGCATCCCTGGAGGGCCCATTCGGCTGCTTTCCTGAGGGAAAGAGCCCTGCTGGTGGTGACTGCTCCCCGGGCCCTGTGTTCCATGCAGCCCCATGCAGTGAGGCCAGAGCCTCGCGTTTGAGCAGCTGCCGTGTCCCCATTGTTTAGCACAGGGCCTGGGCCAAGTGAGTCCTCAGGAAATACCCATCAAGTGAATATGTCAGTTCAGTAAAACCTTAAAACAGATGAACAAGAAGTGTCCCCCACAGTGTGGTGACAATCAGATAGTCTTGGAGGAATTCTGGGAAGCTCTCAGTGAAGGGCACTTCCATCCTGTGCCAGGTGCAGCGGCTGCTGGGAGGCAGCAAGAGGTGGTGAGACTTGAGTCCTGGGCCTGCCACTGCTGCTGCCCGTCGTATGCCTGGGAGTCCCTCCTCCTCCCTGTGCCCCATCTGCAGCAGCTGCTGTGAGGGTGATGAAGAGAAGCCTGGCTCGTGGCTGGGCTCTGTGAAGGTTGGCCTCCCACCCTCCTTGCCTCCGTTTCCCCGTTTGGCTGTGTGAAACCTGAGAAGCCCCTAGCAGTCACCCTGCTCTTTCTTGTCTTCCCAGGAGAGCTCCCCAGAGCAGCTTCCTTGGAGTTACCGAGAGAAGACCCACTTTGGCCGCCTGGGCCTGGACCTGATTGAAGAGCTGGTCAGATGCTGTCGGAGAAAGCCATTTGCATTGGTCTGCGGCTCGCCTGAGTTTACCAAAGACATGGCCAAGTGCTTACTCTGTGTGGGCCTGGCCAAGGGCTCCTACTTCCTCTTCTAGCCCTGGTCTCCCTTCCAGAGCCCTGTCCAAGGGTCTGCTACGGGGACACAAGAAGGATCTCAGACTAGAGTCAGAAGGAGTCCAGGCTTGGCCTGCTGAAAACTTTCCGAGTGACCTTGGACAAGTGTCCTCACCTCTGGGAATCTCCATTTCTCATCTGGTCTGTGGCGTTAGTCATTCTCTCCTGGCGTCTTGTTTTCTGGGGAGACTGAAGCCTGTGGGAGCCCTGAGAGGAGTGCATCCAGCCTGGGAGGCAGAGAGGACGCCTCGGAGGAAGCCACGTCCAGGCTTCTCCTCTGAGGAGCCCAAGATGTGAGGGAGAAGTGCAGAAGAAGGGGAGGGGAGGAGCTTGCCTGGTCCCTCTGATTAGAGCCTTAGGGGCTCCAGCTGTGACCTCATCTTCCGCTCAGGTCTGGTGCTCCTGAGTGTTTAGGAAACAACTCCAGGAGAAGCCAAGTGCTCTTTGGAGAATATTACCGTACTTTCCTTCAGTGCTGTGAGCCTGATGTGCTGAAGGCCTTGCGTTCTGTGACTTGACTGTGTTCTCAGGACAAGGTGTCACCCTAGATTACCTCTGTCCTGGCCCCATCCTTTCCCACTGCGAACAGCTTTGTGCTCAGTCTCCCTTCCTTGCCTCAGGACCCCAGCCCGGAGTCCTGTCCCAGCAAAAGAAGAGGCAGGGGAGGTAAATGCCCCGCCCTCCTGTGGCAGGCAGCTGGCTCAGCCTGTGCCTTCAGCTTGGTGCCCTGGAGACAGTTGCTATGGAGATCTAAAGATAGAGCGGGAGTCAGGAGACCTGGGTTCCCCTCCCAGCTCTCCCCACTGAGTGGCTGCTGATTAGGTCTACTCAGCCCTCCCCACCTACCCTGCATGGGCCATGGCCTCTCCAGGGAACCCTGTGCCCCTGGGCAGCACACGCAGTTAGTGAATTCAGCTTGTCACAGCCTGGACTCCGGTGTGCTGTACCAGCACGGGACTTGGCATAGGCAGCCCCAGAACTGGAATAAAAGGCAATGGAGGCTTAGAATCAGGGAGCCACAGAACCTGAGTTAGGCTGTTTATTGTCCCAGAATTGCAGTCCTCATCAAAGCTGAAAGGCCAGGATGCCGGAAAACATCCCACCTGACGGACTGCCTGTATAAATGGAAAAACCGAGGCCCAGTGAAGCTAAATGACTTGCTAAGGTGAGACAGTGGTGGAGCACCTTATTTCAACCCATGGACATAGTTCTGCACTGCTGGTTTTCAGACTGAGCTCCACGGGGCACTAGGGCTCCTGGCAGGGATGACAGCAGAAGTGATGGCCAGAGAGATCTCAGGCCCCACTTGTTTTTATCCCATTTATGTATTGGGGCTTGAAGTAGTTTATATTTGTCAGAAAGGATTTTCCTGTCCTGCCCAAAAGTTCCATCAAATTGGGCACTAAATTGTCATGATAAGCAGCTGAGGGGTGGAACAAAGGTTTCAAACTTTTACAGGAGAGGTTCCTTGTCAGAGAGGTGTGGGGGCTGCTGGCTGTGTCCTCGCCAAGAATCACACATATGAACACATTAAAATTCTGAAAGACAGGGCCAGGGATTTAGCTCAGTGGTTCCGCTGCCTGCCTCGCAAGCACAAGGACCCGAGTTCAATCTCCGGTACCAAAAAAAAAATTCAGAAAGACCAACAGCTAAGAAACTTTTCATGTGGTTTAACCCAGAGTTTCTCAAGCTGCCTCCTGTGGCTCAGTGTTCTGTGGGTCTCGAAGGCTCTTTGCAATGTGATGAATAGGAAAGGCCCCGAGAGTCAAAGCTCTGAGCAGGGACTGTGGTCTCCTCCTGGCAGGCCTGGTCCTCCTGCTCTCCCTTCCTCATGTTCATGCTCCCAGGGGCCTGTGATGAGCTGAGTCTGTTCCAGACACAGGAAAGATCAGCAAGGGAGGCAGGCAAAGCCTTTCCACTGGGAGCTCCAGCAGGGAGGAGGCAGGCGTTCAATGTGCAGTTGGGAAGGGATGAATGTTGTGAAGGTGGAGTGCTAGTGTGGAGGGCCAGGGATGCAGCACAGCCACTGAGAGTAGAGGTGTCAAAAACAGCATTTGCACTCATAGCTAGCGGTGTAAGTGGGGTCCCTGTGTAAGGAATGGAGGGTCAGAGGCACCTCTTACATGTGTCTTTGTTCCATTTTTGATATTTGATGTCCAGATGGCAGACAAGGTCACCCAGTGGTGGCTGCCAGCCCCTTTTCCTAGAATGAGTCACCCCTTCCCCTCAGTAGCATCTGTGGCTTCTGGCTGTGGTGCAATCCCTTATCCTGGGACATTGGTGAGGACGCTGCCATGTGGCCCTTGTCACCTGGACATTGGACTGCTCGTGACTAGGTGCTAAGTGAGCCCCGGAAGAAGAGGAACAGTTGAGATGTGTGAGGACAGACCTCTTGGGATTGGGGCAGGCTCCCGTCACCTCCTGTTCCTCGCCTCCTGTCACTGCCCCCGTGCAAGAGGGGTGTTGCTGAGGTGATGGGCACTGTGTGAAGTTGTGGTGGGAGAAGGGAGGCTTTGGGCTTGTCTCAAAGGCAGCAGGAGGTGAAAATGTCCATGGATCCATGCCCAGATAGGTGTCAGTCTTGTCTGCAGCAGTCCCAGGCTCCCGGAGACAGCGTCTAGCAAAGGGGCTGGGGACAGACCTAGGTAGTTAAAGCCGTACCTGCTGTAGTTCAGCCCTTACCATGTCAACCTTTGGCCTTGTCGGTCTCCCAGCCCATCTCCTCCCTTCACACCCTGCTCTGCATTGTGGCCAGTCTGACCTTCCTAATACACGGACCCGAGCTCTCACTGCTGTGTCCTTCCATGGCTCCTTGTTACCCTAAGATACCTCTCCAGGCTCGTTTTATGCTGCCACCCCTCACACCCATCTCTTAAGCTCCAGGCTTGTTTTCTGATGTCCTTTGCTCCCTTCACGTTTGTTGCTCCCTCTGCCTGGCCAGTCCCCTGCTCTCCAGTTCCACACTTACCTTTTTTACCTCCTCATTGGAGCTCCTGGCTCAGTGTCACCTCCTGGGGAAGCATCAGTGCCTCCTCCACTCCTGGCTGGATCAGAGGCAGGGACTCTGCCCTTCCACTGCTGCACCCATCAGCCTGGAGCACATGGCATGAGCCTCACCAGGCCGCTCACTGTGTCATCCATATGGAGGGTTCTCAGTTTGTCCTGCAGCTTGAAAGCCCAAGGGATAAATGATCAGTACTCATGGAGCACTTTACAGGGGGCAGCTGCTTGTCATCTGCATTGAAGCACAGAATCTTCACAAATATTTGTGCCACTTTGGTTTTTTGTTTCTCTTTTTGAGACAAGGTCTGGCTGTGTAGTTCAGGCTGGCCTTGAACTCATAGTGATCCTCTTGCCTCACCCTCCTAAGTATTGGGATTACAGGCATGCATTACAGCCATGCCTGGGAATTTGTGCCATTTTATTGCCCCGATTTGCAGATGAGGAAACTAAGCTTCTAAAACAGGAAACTAAGCTTCTAAAACATGAAACAGTTCTCCAAGGTCATGTAGAGGTACACAAATTCCAACATGTTATAACTGTTGTAAAGGTCATATGTGACACGAATGTGCCTGGAAATATGTATAAAGATCTTTATATTACTGTGCTATTTGAAATAGCAAAAACTAAAACCTATATATCCATGAAAAAAATTAACTTTTTTTATGGTGCTGAGGATGGAACCCAGGCTTCATGCATGCTAGGCATGCATGTGCTCTATCACTGAGCTACACCCCCAGCTATATGTGCATGATAAAAAGAAGAGAGAAACGGTTCCTCACGTTTATGTGCATGAACGTGTGTGCATGTGTGCACACATGTGCGGTGCTAGCCTCGTACATGTCAAGCACAGTTTACCACTGAGCTACACCCCCAGCCCCAACAGTTATTCATCCAGGGGTGCAGCACCTGGTAGTTAAAATGAAAGAACTGGATTTGCATGTGCCGACAGACTGGTAACAGCATCATAAAGTGGCTAGGGAAAGGGGAGGCACTGTGAGCCCCTGTGCTTGGAGATTGTGCTCCCGAGATAATGCTCCCAAGGAGGAGGTGCACCAGCGGTCAGCAAGGGCGAGCCCCGGATGGATGGCAGGGTGGACCTGGGGGACAGCTTTTGGCCATATCTGCACCTGTATTTTATGATAAAAATATTTGAAATGAACATTGCAAAAAGTGGAATTCTCGTAAATCTGGGTGATGGGTTCCCTGATGTCTGCTATATTTTTTCTATGTTTAATACAGTTAAAAATTAAGGATTAAAAAAATTATCAAAGGTGGCTGGTCAATGCTCTTGAGAAATGAGGGGTCTGAAAACATTCACTTCCTTTCCCTCCCTCCCTGTCTTCCTCCCTACCTCTCTGTGTGCCCTCTGTGCCCTCCCGCCTCCCAGTCTTTAGCCCGTCATCTGGGACTCTGCCTGGACACCTACTGTGTGTAGGCCCTCTTCCAAGTGTGGGCAAATGAGCAGTGAAGAGTGGCTCATTCCCCCACACAGACCTCATAGCTGTTCCCTCTGCTCAGGGCTCTGTTTCTCCCTAACTCAAACAGAATGACTTGTCTCAGTGGCACACACTATTTCTTCTTCCTCCTCCTTCCTCTTCTGTGTGTGTGTGTGTGTGTGTGTGTGTGTGTGTGTGTGTATGTATGTGTGTGTTACTGGGGATTCACACTGAGCTACATCCCCAGCACCCTCCCTTTTTGGAGACAGGATCTTGCTTTGTAGTTCAGGCTGGCCTGAACTCACCATGTAGCTGAGACTGGCCTCAAACTTGAGGTGATCCTCCTGCTTCAGCCTCCCAAGTGCTGGGATCACAGGTGTGTACCACCATTCCTGGCTACTATTTTCATTTTTAAATGAAGCAGGCCTAGGTTCAGGACACTTACTGACCCTGTGACCCTCAGCAACTAACTTACCTCACTGTGCCTTAGCCTGCTCGTCTGTAAAATGGGGATGGCAGCACTGTCTCCCAGGTCAGAGAGAGGGCCCCATACCTACTGACCTTCTCTTCTCTCCCTGACCCCTGAGGACAGACAACATTTATTTGCTAAGCTTTTCATTCAAGAGTTCCCCAGATAGGCACAATGCCACATGCCTAGAGTCCCCACTACTGGAGAGGCTGAGGCAGGAGGATCACTTGAGCTCAGGGGGTCAAGTTCAGCCTGGGCAACATAGGGAGACCCTGACAGAAAGAAAAGGAGGGAAGGAGGGAAGAGAAACCTCTCCTTACTATTTTTCCCATGCTTTAGAAGATTTTAATCCCAAATTGCATGTATTAAGTCATTAATTTATCTCCCATTTTTTAATTAATCAAAGACATAGCTGCCCCTTGGAGCTTCTGATCTGTCCATCCAGCTGAGAGGCCACGTGGCTAAAGTGGTTCTGGCCAGAGGCAGAGGAGCTCCACAGCGTATGTGGTCTCTCCACAGCCTGCCGAAGGGTCAGTGGAGACCCATCTTGCTGCTTTTCTTTTTCAATCAGCTGTGAGTCGTGGAAGCTGCTGGCCTGGCCCCTGTGGATGCTGTTTTCCCGGTGCTCACTGAGCTTCCATGGGGACTGAGTCTCCCTGCTGGGCCGTGGCGTGAGACCCACGGGACTCCAGTTAGATGGTGTACATGAGCACCACCCAGAAAAGTGTGGGGTTCACGTAGTGGCAGGTGGCGCAGCTGTCAGCATGCAGATTCCAGAGGTTCTGGCTGGAGCCCAGCAGGTCATGCTGCTGCTTGTTCTCAGTGCTGACAGAGTGCACAGGCAGGGTGACAGCCTTGACCAGGGTCTCAGCACTCAGAGTGGCAGCCAGGTGGGCACACTGGGCCAGATGGGAGGCCACACGGGGCAGCTTGAGGGGTGATGAGGGCAGGTGAGTCTGCATCAGGGCCTCTGCCTGGACACAGGGGTGCTTCCCCTCTGGTCGCGCTGACCACCAGGGCACCTGGAAAGAAGAAGGAAAGGTGGTAAGGGTGGGCGGTACTGGCAACAAACAGCATTGGGCTGGAAGCCTCATGTGCAGAACATAGAGCCCTGAGTTGGGGCAGAGATTGGAAGACTGGGTTGAGAAATGGTATGGCAAGATTCCAAGTGGCTTCCATCCCCAAGAAGAGCCTTGGACCCTGTGGCCTTGACACCCACACCAGCTTGCTGCACCCCCAGGCCCCTGGCCTGCACCTGCTCCTGGACAATGCTGAAAGGCCAGCAGTGGCAGGAGCCACAACTGTGTTCTCAAAGGTGACTGATTCTATGAAAATGAAAACAAGCATTTGCTACAAGTCTGCTGAGTGCCAGATTTTACAATTGCATTGTTTGAGGCTGGGTTTGCTCCAAAGGTGACTCTGAGCAAGCAGCATTTGGTTACAAGAAATGTCCATGGGGGCTGGGGATTTAGCTCAGTGGCACTGCGCCTGCCTCACAAGTACAAGGTCCTGAATTCAATCCCCGGCACAAGAAAGAGAGAGAGGGAGGGAGGGAGAGAGAGAAGGAAAGAGAGAAAGAAAGAAAGAAAGAAAGAAAGAAAGAAAGAAAGAAAGAAAGAAAGAAAGAAAAAGAAGGAAAGAAAGGAAGGAAGGAAAGAAAAAAATGTGCGTGGGAGGTGATCAGGGGAGTGGGAGTTGGGGAGGAAAGACAGTAAAGGGGAGCTGCTGGCAGGTCACCCCTGGCAGCAGCTGGAGCTCATCTCGCTGGGGTTCTGCCAGAAGGCTGCAGCTCACTTTAGGATTCTCCCACTGAGGGACAAGGAAGCCGAGCGTTTATCCTCAGAGCACTTTGCTCCCTCACTGGCTGAGGGGATGAACTCCTGGCTCTCCTGGTGCCCCCTGAGTGGGCTCACGGGCAGCCAGAGCCGCCTGAAGGCAGAGACAGAGCAACCCCTTGGTGGACGTAGAAACTCCCTGCTGGGCCTCTGGGGCAGGCAGGGTGGTAGAGGTGGCATAGCAACAGTGCCCACTGCTCCCTCACACTTCGTGCTCAGGCATTTGATTGGCAAGAGATGCTCAAGAGGTGAAATAGCTAGTGGAGAAAGTGGTGTTCCCCCCATGAGGGCAGGGTGTGACGCTGAGTCCCCTGCCGCAGTCTAGCACGATGTCTGGTCAGCAAGGGTAGCAGTTGTGATTGCTGAATGAATGAATGAATGAGCTGGTGCAAGCCCTGAGATTGTGGGGTAGCTAACACTGCTCTGTAAAATGAAGATGGTAATTCCCTCCCTCCTGGGGCTGCTTTGAGGAGTGCAGAGGTTGTGTAAGTTAAGTGCTCAGCTCAGTGCCTCACCCACAGGGAAACCTCAGCCTCTGCTCTGCCCCTTTAAGGGGGAGGGGGTCTTCACCAGGAAGCAAATCATCTCGCCCAGCTCAGAGATCCCCTGAATCTCCGAATAATGGATCTTTTCCTCCAGGGAATCTCTACCGGCTCGGCTCACTAGCGCTGCAGCCTGTCCCAGTTTTCCCCACATTAATGCAAAGGAAAGGGGAAGAAAGCACCTCCGTGTTATTGCAGCACTCTCGCTGCCTTGCCCTCCTCGGTCTGGCTCTCTGGCCCTCTCCTAGTTCAGCCTCTCCTTAGAGAGCTGCGCGTCCCTCCCAGAGTGTGCTCCTCCTCTCCATCCCCACCCTGCTGCAATCTGCCTTCCACTCCCTCCTCTGCTCTGGGCGCCCAAAGTTTGATGCTGTTGATTCCTTCCTTTCGGAGCCTGTTTCCTCAATGAGATAATTCCTACCTCCCTGACTATTCTGCAGACTGAATGACTCGTTCCTTTGGGTGTCAGCAAACATTTCTGATGGCCTTCTCTGCTGGGTCTTGAGAACCCTGACTCTGGCAGTGTCCCCATCTCATGGCGGCTGCAGAAGTCCCTGTAGCAAGTTTGCAAGGCCCAGCCCTCTGCCTGATACACAGCAGACACTGGGTATGAATGCTGGTTTGTCTTTGCTTTTTGTCCTCTCTGTCCTGGTTCCGTAGCCAGACAGCGGGCAGGAAGAGGGGTTTTAACTTGCTCTCTGAAGTCTCCTCCACCACCTCGCTGCCTGTCTGCGAGGAGCCCTGGCTGTTCACTCTGAGGCCCCAGGTGACCCTGCATGCAGCCTGGAGGCCCCGGAAGCTGATTGTCACAGCTTCTGCATCTGGACTTCTGAGAGCTTGGGTAACCCCGCTTCTTGATGGAGGACCTGAGAAGGCCTCCTTGGCTGGCATATCTGGCAGCCTTGGGGGAACACAGAGGGCCAAGTGGAGACAGGAGGGACCCTGGGTACTCGGTGAAGGAGCCTCTGGGGTCTTGGCCCCAGCTACCTACCGCTCCAGGCATCTATGGGCACTGCTCCGAGTCGGTCCCCAGACAGAGGTGCTGCACATGGGCAGAATTAGGACGAACTGGGGCTTTCAAGCTGCTCACACAGTAGTAGGTTCCAATCTCAGCTGTGTCACTGAATGGCTGTTTAATCTCAGGCAAGTGACTTTACTTCTCTGGACTTCAGTTCCCGCATTTGAAAACTAGGGATGTTTTTATTCCTTCTCTCAACAGCTGTTTGTTGAGCACTTAGTTTACAGCATGTACTAAAGCTCAGCCCTGAGCTCTGCTCTCCTTGTGGGGAGACAGAGTAACCAGCCAGGGGTCAGCCAGGTGCTACTGCCACCGAAGGGGGCTTGGGAAATATCGAGAATACTAACATCTCC